ATTATACCCACAGGTCATATTACTAAACAATGAAAATACATCAGTTACCCACCTTTTGGTATGTCTCGTACTGTTTCTTCAGAGTTTTTCCAAGACCTCTGTGTTTTGATGTTTCCCTTATCTTCACACACATGGGCTGTGGGGTGGGAGGGGGGGTGGGGGTGAAAATAAAATAGTATTATCATCATCGTCATTATCAATGTCATCATCAATGTCATCATTAATGTCATATTTAACCTAACCAGTTCTCATGATAGATCGACAATCCCTTATCCAAAATTTAGAAACCGAAAGTTTTTAAGTGGAACAAAACAGTTTTTTTTATCTATTTTATTTTTTTTTATAACAGGGATTAGCTCACCCGGGCACAGGTCACCGATACACATCAGGGCCAGGGAGGCGAAAATGTAGTAGTGGTAATAATAGTTATAATAATATAAGTAATAATATCAATACTGTAATAATTCATAGTAAATATTTTTAATAAAAAATAAGCAAAGATAAAATAAAAATAAAAATAAAAATAATAATAATAATAATAATAATAATAATAATAATACAATAATAATAAAGAAATACACGAATGAAAAAAAGATCAAAAGTGAGAAAGACGACCTAGACCTATGAATTATTGTTACATTTTCGCGCCCAAGCCCCAATGTGGGTCGGTGACCTGTGCCCAGGTGGTATGCTCCCTGTAAGAAAAAATTAAAAATTAAATAAAAATAAATAAATATGTAAAATTCCCTGACGTAACCATTCCAAAATCAGAAACACAGCTGGTCCCAAGGATTACGGATAAGTGATTGTCAACCGTATGGTTATCAATAATAAGATTTATAATCATCATCACTAATAAATATTTTACCCACAGGTCATATTACTAAACAATGAAAATACATCAGTTACCCACCTTATGGTATGTCTCGTACTGTTCTTCCAAGACTTCTGTGTATTGTGCTATTGATGTTTTCATACACACATGGGGGGTGGGGGGGAATAGTATTATTATCATTGTCATTATCATTTACATCATCAATGTCTTCAACATGTAAGACTTTTATACATACATGTTAATACACACACAACACCCCCACAGACGCACATACACACTCCAATATCATTATTATGACAACTTAAAGTTTGGTACAGTATTGAATTTCTAATCTGTTTCAGGGTACAAATTCTCCCAAAGTTCCCAAGTCACTTCACCCCCTCACATGGGATACGAAAATTCATCTCATTGTAGTGAGTCTTGGTACAAATTCAACACCTCACTAGTTTTCCATTATGTCTACGTTATTTTGAGAATTTTTTCACCTTTAAGAATCAGTGAGTTAGTGTACAATAATAGAGGCTTAGTATAATTACATCCCCATTTTAGTTATCTCGGCTAAATTAAGGAGCTTTTTAACCTTTGAGAATCCATGACCCAGTGTTGTGTTGGACATGAGGACAGGTGAGTGCCCAGCTAATGGTCAAGAGTACTGAGGAAGTTGGGAGCATTCACTCTGCATTGTCTCCTGCTGCCTCCACACTAACTCGCTATCTCGGACACCTTCCGCACTCATATTCTAACCCATGACACACACACCCCCCTAACCCCTCCCCACTTTGGCTTTCTTCCCTCCACTTCCTCCTCCACAACACTTAACAAAACCCTCTCCTTTGTTCACTGTTGTCTCTTTCTAGTTGTAAAGAGATCAGCCCAGATTATCGATTTCTGATTTGTTGTCACGTCTTGTAGCGGATCTTGAGTTGTCTGGCCAATGGTGTGAATCTTTATAACCAATATCCTCCCTTCTCTCATATATATACCCACAACCCTCGCTGCCTCACCCTCAAATCCAAGGCGCTCCCTCCCTCCTTCACCCACATATAACATAAGTACACGTAATGTAACGCCTATAACAAGCAGCTAGTTTTCCTGTGGGATATATCTAACAAACCTTCCCAATGAGGAACATATATTCTCAGGAGTATTTTCAAGAATTCTATTAAAACTTATTGGAAACTTTTTTTTAATTCAAGCTCTCAATTGTAAACCCAGATGGACCTTAGATATTGGGAGGAAGAAGAAATATGAAATCACCTGAAGAATCTCAACCCCACCTTATTTCACCTGAAGTTTAACCACACTAACGTAACTTTACCTATCCTATTATAACCTAACTTAACGTACCCTATCCCATTCTTACCTAACCTTTCCTTAACCTATGCTATTCTAAACTAACCTATCTTTACCCCCCCCCCCAAGAGTGAGTGGTTAATCTTTAGGTGAAATAAGTTGGGATGCAGTTGATTAGAAAAATACAGATCAGTTACCCATAAGTGGTCTCCCTCACACCTCAAGAAGCAAAAAATGGGAAATGGTGAACCAAATCAGAGGCTTCAGTAAATGGTATATTTTCCTGATCATATACTGCACCATTAATTCCAAAGAAAATATATCCCTAGTATTTAGCAATATATACCATTAATTCCCACATAGAACAGCTATCACCAGTATTTAACAGTGTCTAGCCCACATGGTACAGTACTGTCACTATACATAGAGTGGAGATTAAGAGACTTGTGTTGAGGGAAAATACTGACCATGGAGGGGAGGTGTTGAGAGCAGCTGCTGGGGTTATAAACGAGTTGTTGGTGTTGTGAGTGTGGTGGTCTGGCAGTTGTCAGTGCGGTGGTGGTGGTGTAGTGTGGTGTTTGTGATGATAGTATAGTGTTGCGATTGTGAAGTGAATGTGGAGGTTGAGACTATGGTGGTATGGAGGTCATGGAGGTCTATAGGTTGTGTAGTGTGGCAGCTGTAGAGGTCTGGCGGTTGTGTAATGTCGACCGAGTGGAGGAATGCGGCCTCACAACCAATAACCCAGCAACCACCACAGGATCATAACTTACCCTCACAAATATAACCTACAACCCCCCCAAAAAAAACCCACCCTCTCTCACCTAACAAGTCATAAGAAATGCATCTGGTTTCATCAAGGCTTCTAAAAGGCCAATAATCTCACAGGATATTGGAACCTTGATGTAGCTGGGCAGGTTTTTCCCTCCCTATTGATGTATTGGGAGCCCTGACTTTTTGGGAAGGAACTTCTCATTGGTTCTGGGAAGTTTGGGTATATGTCTAACTACTGTATATAAATCTCCCATCGCTTATCCTAAAACAATATGAAACGCGTGTGTGTGTGTGGCTATATATATATATATATATGGTATGTATGCATGTATGTATGGACGGATGGATGAATGGATGGCTGGATGGATATGTGTGTGTGTGTGTGTGTGTGTATGGATGGATGGGTGTGTGTGTGTGTATGGATGGGTGTGTGTGTGTGTGTATGGATGGATGGATGGGTGTGTGTTTGTGTGTGTATGGATGGGTGTGTGTGTTCAGGGTACACACACTACACTATATATTTATCTATTCCCTCCCTCGAAATTTTACACAACATACGAAAACTGTCAAATGGAAATTCATCCATCTGATAGTGCTGTACTGTATTGTATTGTACTGTTAAAACTCACTTGTATTCTGAAGGCGACCAAAACCTGGCAGTGGGGAGAGCACCTAACGTGGGAGCTGCTCATTTCACTGACCACGAGTGTACAGTATTGGTCGCCCAGACACTCCCATAAAACCTTTGTTCTCTCCTAATTGAGTTTTCATGGTAACGTCTTTGTTGATTTGATGAAGTCTCACGTAACTCCATCCCGATGAATTACGTTCATTATGTAGTCTAGTATAGTATTAGTAAGTCTGTTATAACCTCACGGGGGGGTTAAGCCTACAAAACCTGACTGTGGGAGCTGGCCTAACCCGCCCTGAGTGTAGGATGATATCCCTTCAGACAAAAAATCCCCAGGACAAAATGCCTCTTATACACAGAAAAAAATTTAATACTAAATATTATGTACCATTTAATTTAGCACTTAATAAAATCATAAAGTTCTGGAATTTAATTATTGCTCTTAATTGGTGGAGTAACACAAGGTTCCAATCTTCTCTTACTAGTATATATTTGTCGTGAATTTTGCGACCCCCTCGTGCACACCCTCCCTGTGGTGACGCTCAGCTGGGAATTGAACTGATGGGTGACAGCCTGGAAAGGGGACAGGATTGTGTGTAGGTAAAGACAAAGTGATGGGAGGAAGTGAGAAGTTGATGTGACTTATAGGATGGTAATTTGGGGGGTACAGTACCACGTCGTGTGTGAGGGAGGCTGCTGGCATGTCTCTATGTAATCCAGTGTATTTAGAGACCATGAGCTGGACCTGAGCTGCCTGCCCTTTATATTCGGGAGGGTGTGAGGATCAGGCTACTCCACCCTCCCTGAGAGGTGTTGTGAGGGAGGGGGAAGCACAGAGTACCAAGGAACTACCGGCTTGGGGGTTCAGGTAACATTTATTTCACTCGAGAATACTGGTAGCTAACAGGAGGTGTCACAACTGTGGGAAAATACTTAATGAAATAAAATACTGTAACATGATAAAATTAACCTGCATACCTTTGAAATTCTGATGACTCCTCACACACACTGCCCAAACTCCACCATTCCTCAAGCAAAGGTTATATTGTAGTTCATTAACACATTCAGCTCACACTAAGTCCAGGATGTTCATTGATGTTCCATTAGTTTATTGTTCTGTTCTTACCTGCAATACATATACGTATACCGGTACAGTATGTTTATTTTCTGTGGATATATACAAGACACTATTTAATATGTAATAATTATAGAATGTGCATTTTGGCAGGAATAGGATCGATTATTTGTCATTTAAGTTTTTTATAGATCACCTGAAGATTAACCCCACATTCTCAAGAAGGGGCTCATCTTCAGATGATTCATAAATGCTAAAATTACAGATGATCTTGCCTATACCACACATCATTCACTACACCACTACTTCACCACACAATCATTCACTACACCATATAATCGCTACACCATTCTTAATACTATACAAGGGTCAAAGAATAAAACAAACACATGTTTACATTTATTTTCCCTCTTATATATATACAATATACATGGATGCTAAATATATGAGACATCATATAGAAGTGCAGACGACTACTGGCTCCCCCTCCCTCTCTGCCTCTCCCCCTCCCTGCCTGCCTCTCCCCCTCCCTTCTAGGCTGCCTCTCTTGCTCACTCGTCTGAAGGGAGCCTCATCAAGACCGTAGTGTGTGATAAATTATTAGTTTCCGGCAATGGTTGTGATTGATCTTGAAGCACCTCTACTCCTTCAACTTTACTACTGTACCATTATTACTCCTCCTCCCTCACTTCCTTCTCCCTTACTCCACCTCTTTCATGCTTACTCTTCCTCCCCATCCATACTCCCTATCCTTACTCATTCTCCTCTCTACCCTCTCTCTTCCCTTATCCTGCCTCACACTCCTACCACATTCTCCCTCTCCCACCTCTTCCCACCCCCCACCCAGCTCAGCAAGGAACAGTCACCAAAACATCACCTCTTACAAAATATTAAATATATAAAAAATTATGAATTGGACTTTTTTTAAGCATCACATATAAATAATTTTTGTGTTTTAAAATTAACCGAGTGCAACAAATGTATATAATTATCCATTAAAAAAGATATCCATAGAACGATATTACTGAGTTATCCTTAGTGAGAATTTTTCACCAATCTGGAATTTACGATACAAAATTCTTTAAGAAAAATAAGAAAATTACTGTACAGCACTGATGGTGGAGCGAGATATTTGCTCACAGGTCAGATGGGCCCCAGTCCTAATAAGCCCTTGTCTCATTGGGCCCTAACCTAACCTAAACTAATCTAACCTAATAAACTGTAAACTAACCTAACCACTAGATAGATATTCGGGATACAGTAAATAACTCGACAGTTCCAATAATCTACCGACTTGAATTAGGTCGTATTAGAATTGGGCAGCAGTCCTAGTGGTTAGGTTAAGTAAGGTAGGTCAGATCAGGTGAGGTTAGGGTAAATGTAGGCTAGGTTAGGTTGTAGGTTAGACCGGGTTAGGGTAGGGTGGGTTAGGGCAGGTCAGATGAGGTTCAGTTAGGTTGTAGGTCAGACTGGTTAGGGTAGGGTAGGTCAGATCAGGTTAGGTTGTAGCCTGGTGGGAGTGGGAGGTATCAGGACTGCAGCTCGCCTGACCCACCACTCGAGCACAACTGCCTGCACTAAGGCCCAGACCTTCACTTCATCTCATGTGATACAACAAACACATTACTGTCACATAAGGCACGACTTAACCCACTTGGCATCAGGTATGTACATGAACATTTCTTCTTTATCATTATTACAATGACTTATAGTTTACACTTGGATTTATGTACACAGTCGTAGTGTTTACTTAAATGTACACCTCTGTGGTCGACTTATTGTCAGTACATACACAGGTTCGGTGCTCAACGGGAATCCCTACACATCGTGTCTGGTCAGCGTGGCAGAGAACTACACACGCCAAGTTTTGGTTCACAGCTTTTACAATTGTTTTGGTCAGAATAAAGTTGTTGACACAGCAGAGATACAGCCGGTAATTTTAACAACCTAACATGCCGACAGGTCCCAGAGATAGACCCAGATACAACACACCCGATACAGTGCTGTAGGATGGACCTTATATGCTGTTGGAGTTCACCCTTTGACCAGTCACTGGGAAGTGTGTGGAACAATGTCCTGTTTATATCCTCGCTTCACCGAGTGTACAGACTATTGTTGGATGGTGACCACAAGACTGACGGAGGAGTTCTTGGAGAGTGTGAGGGAAAAGCTGTTGTTAGAGTGTGAGGGAGAAGTTGTTGTTGGAGAGAGTGAGAGAGAAGCTGTTGGAGTGTGAGGGAGAAGTTGTTATTGGACAGAGTGAGAGAGAAGCTATTGTTGAAGAGTGAGGGTTGTGAGGGAGAAGAAATTGTTGGAGAGTGAGTGTGATATCTCTCAAAGGTCATCACCACTTTCAAAGAGGTCATGAGGTCAGGTCAATAGTGGCACCAAGCAACAGGTCACACAGGGTCATCCAATATATAAAATAAAAACAAGTGAGATACAGGACAAGGATTTAACTGTCTTGTCGAGCTTGTAGACCTGACCTAACCTAACCTACACTTGGAATGCCACACATTCACCGACAAACACTACAGTCAACACTCACACACCTGACCACAAACCCACACTGCACTGGCATGTTCCTCAGGCCCAATTTAACAAGAGGGGGTGACAGTCTACATCTCCTATGGCCTGTGATGCCTCCTTTCCTATATATAAACTCTATATACGAGGAAGAGGAGAGAGACCTGGCCCACCCCCGGAGTATGATAACAGACCTCTATCTCCATATAGATGGGGGTTACATATCCAATGGACCCCCAATATAACAAACCTTCATCTCTATGTAGTTCATTAGGCGGAGAGTTTACATCTGACAAACCCTTGATATAATGGACTTTCCTCTCCATATAGTCCATCAAATAGAGGTTTCGCTGTATCACCTATACATAGTGTGTTCCACTAATACACAAGGTGTTATTAACAACTGCTAATAATGTGGAAACTATGTGGCCTATGATAGGAAAGGAACCAGCCTCAGAAAGGTCATAGTGCAGTACCTTTTACCACTAAACCACCCAGTCACACCATAAACGATGTACTATTGATAGTTTACCCTTCACAAAATAGTAAACCATGGATCATATAAACTTCCTATTAGTAGTTTACCATTCATAAACTAGTAAACCATGAATCATGTAAACTGACGATACCATAGACACACAAGGTAAACAGGACAGTCATGCCGGCAATCAATCATTCAGCAACAAATGTGATAAAACACCTCACAAACTTTTGACCAAGTGAATATTGTGGTATTCCCCCCCCCCCCACACACCCTTGCCATGTAAAATTACTACTTCTACTGTATACTACCACTACTGTATACTACTACTACTACTGTATACTAAAACTACTGCTATCTTAACTACAAGATACTACATGAGGGTTACGTTAGGTTTCGTTGATTTTAAAAGAAAGTCATGGCAAAATAGCTTATCTGTATATAATTGTAGTTCCAGAGCAAAATATTCCATGACAAAATGTTTCTGGTGCAAAAGTTGCTGGAAGAGAAGAAAACACACAAGTTATCTGAGACAAGATGTTAACTTGCTCAGGTGCTAAAGTTGTCGGGTCCTTCTTCTCTACAACTTGTAGTGATAATACAGTAGTCTACTTATCTACAGTGTACCAATTTGGTGACTAGTACTAATAACTACAGTGCATGTTGGTGTGTTACTCCTCACTGGTGACTTGTACTACACCAACAACTGATGCATGTACTTGACTGACACTTACTGAACAGCTCATGTTAAGCTTATCCTAAAGTTGAGTTGAACAGCTGACGCTCACACAATAGTTAAGACTGCCTGGACGACTGGTCTCTGTCTGTCAACTGATTCCTTTAATCTGACCGAGTTGCCTGCATGCCGCCGTACTCTGGCCGTACTACTGACATCTGCCCGGTCTTACACCGACTGGTGTACACGACACAGTAGACAGGTTCGGGTCCGCCGCTACACGAACCTCGGGGATCTGTTGGGAGAGGGTTTTCTCGGGTGCTCCTGAAGGCTATCCGACGCAGGGCTCTGGGGAGGCCCTGGGACACGAGTGTCAGGGTGCAGGCGTCTGAGGGAGGACACCTCAGCTTCACTGCTCCTGAGAGTATATAAAGGTGATGCTCGCCCCTCACTGGGTAACCCCTCAACACCCTCACTGACCCCCTGCTGCTGCTGTCCTGGCATGGACACCCTAACTGTCGCCTCTGCACCAATGTTAACAGCCGATGTGGCTGCCGCCACTGCCGTTGGCCCTCTACTAGCACCTCCGCCCACAGCGGCAGGCACCTGTATCCTAACGCGGTTCTCGTCAAAGGAGGACCTGGGAGCAACGACAGTAGTGATGGTGCGCTTGGTGTCGTATTGGGCGATGGTGGACCTGGTGAGGAGCAAGGAGGGGCCGAGGGTGACCAGGCCGCCTCGTTCGGTGCTCAGGTAGGGAGACACGTAGCCGGACTCCCCGCCGCTGCTGCCACCACAACCTGTAACAGTCACAGTCACTACTGAGCATCACACTTGGCTGGAGATAGGATACTTAAATCTGCTGACACTGTATAGTGAACTAACTGTACAGTGAACCAGGTACAGTATAGTGAGATCAGACAACATGACTTGTGGGTTTACAAGGAAAGTTACATCAGAGAAAATAATGATACCACTGGCTATATACAGTAAAGCAAACTAGAATATCAACACAGTAATATACAACATATTTGTAGTAACAAATTATTATTTTATAATTTATCTTTACTGTACAAGAAAACAGACAAGCTCCCAGTGTAAGTTCACACCAAACAGAAGATAAAAATAAACATTTGTGACCAATTTTCATTATTAAAAGAATTTTTTTATTCATCTTTGTGATCCAAATAATTATTATACTGTATTTCTATATCAAGATTTATAGATGTAAATATTTTTAACCTTTCTTAACTTAACCCAGCCAAAATTAATCTAACCTACAGCCAATGAGAAGAAGATTACCATCACCCAAATACTTAAATGTTAATAGTAATTATTGTACTGTATGTTTTATTGCTGTACACTAATTTTAATAAGCATAAAATAATTTTGCTGTACCAAATTTTATTTACGATAATTTAAAATTACTTATATTTTATTTTAGGAAATATATTTTAAAATAATCGCTATAAATTCTAAGATTCTAATAATATGAAACATTTATAGCTAACAAAACATAATAATAATAATTTCTAAAGTTTAAGTGGTATAAAACACACGCGTAAAAAAACACCAATTAAAGCATTGAGTAAAAACAATAAATAAAACACCGATATTTTAATGATGAAAAATACCAAACTGTTAATATTTAATACATAAAACATACAGTGTGCTTTATAAGTTATCAAGTGAACACAAGCGCCGACACCGACCACACACAGGATAGTGCCAAATGCTAACACCGATCGAGTAATTACATTAAATAATAATCCATATAATTTTAGTTCATTACGGTAATTAAAGGTCAACTCCAGGCTGATTAAATCCAGGGGGATTATTGAGGTCAACCAGGAAAAGTTGATAGAAGTTTAACACAATTTAGCATAAAATTCGTCAACAAATGTTCCCAACATTTAGAACAAGAACAAGTGAACAAAATAAACTCGCAGAGAAAACATAAATAACTTCAGTACTGATGAAGAACAAACTTATTATTTCATATTGGAATTAAATACTGTGTATTTTTTTTTTTTAAATAACATAATTTACTGTTAATTTTTCAATTTAATATTAGTAATACTGTAGTCACTTTATACACATTGTCTCTCTTAAAAGTGTATGTTAAGTGTAGCAGCCTAGGGCAGGAAAACTCTTACTTTGTGAAGATTAAAAATAAGTTACTTCAACCTATTTACATTAACTTGCTTCCCTTAACCCTTGAGGTTCCGAAGGAATAAATAATCATTGTTAAAGGGTTGAGGAAATTCTATTACTATGATCTTTAATGAAAAAAAAACTTGAATGGGTACACACGCTCCCATAATACGATCACAATTAGGTAATTATTGGGGGGGGGGGATAAGTCTTTCTGTGATTCATTGGTTGAAAAACTTTGTAAAACCAAACTTTATAAAACCTGTGAACGTTATTTAAGAAAAGAACATTACCCTGGAGTTAACACAGCACCAACTGTAACTAATACAGGATGGTAACACAGCACAGGCAGATATTATTACACCAGGGTAATAAGCTCTGGCTAACAAACACCAACATCATGAAGGAAGAAAGTCTCAATGTTCATGTGTAGCATTACACAACTTTATGTGAATGGCTCCGAGAGTCTTAAGAATTCACCCCGAGGACACGACAGACAGTGAAGCAGAGGCAAGAGTGTGTGACTGTCAACATCACCACTACTGACATATAAACCTTAAACACTGCAGATAACAATCATTTACTCAAGTTATTTATTAATATTTTAAATGATTACGAGTGAAATTTACCTTTGTATTTACATCAGACAAAATAAGTTGGACATGGTTGTGTGTTTAAGTTATTGTGAAGTGTGTCATATCATCAGATGGAAATATGAGAAAGGAGAGGAAATGATACAAGTGAAGCAAAACACCCAAACTCTGAGAGAACAAAAACAACACACTCGGTGCTGGGAGGTATTCATGCAAATATTAGTTGGTGGTGGACTCAAAATGCCAAACATAAGTCACTATGAGAGATTCTTAGGGGAAAAATAGCAACAAAACAAAACAGGGTCAAGTTATCCATATTGTGCATTCCATAACACCAAGGTCTGTGGGATGTTGCTGCTGGTGTGGTCCAGTCTGGGTTTTGGTTAATCCTTAGAGTTCTCGAGGGTTAAACCACAGTCCTTAAAGAGTTAAACCATCATCCTTACAGGGCTAAACCGTCATTCTCAAAGGGTTAAATCATCATCCTCAAAGGGTTAAACCATCATCCTCAAAGGGTTAAACAATCATCCTTAAAGGGTTAAATCATCATCCTTAATGGGTTACACCTCATTGTCAAAGGGGTTAAACCATCACCCTTAGAGGGTTAAGATGAAAACTGATCCGCTTCACATTTTTATTAATTTCAATTCATACGACTGATTAAAATTTGTCTTTGAAGATAATTTCCTCAATATTATTAATCTAATAGTGAAAAATAATACCATGCAATTGAAATTTGAGATTTAATGAATAAGAAGTGTGGCTATTAAACAAGGTAATTAGTGTTCCCAGCATCACTCCTGGACCACACCGACAACATCCATTATCTACGGCCCAGAAACACTTACACAAAAGTTGCCAGTTACTTGATTGGATATTTTTATTTTTTATTTTTTTTTTTTTTTAGTTCTGGAATTGTTTAAGTTTTGGTTTAAGAACTACTAGAGCTGGAGTCTTCACTTGTGGATCGTGCAAAGTGTGCTGAAAACAGTAGAATAATGAGTTAGGAAAGTTTGAAGGCACAGTCAGGGAACATGACTAGTGAAACCTCCACATAACAGACATACACCTCCATACAATCTGTTACATGGGGGTTACAAATCTAACGCACCTTCATTTCTATATAGTTCGTTACATGGAGGTTTCGCATATAACGGACCCTCGATATAATGAACTTTCCTCTCCGTAGTCCATTAAACAGAGGGCTGGTGTTGACTGAGCTTCAACAACTATATAAGGCCTTTAAGAGCATTATAAAGTAGGGGGTTACACATCTACCAATGATAATGTTGATATATATTTATATCTCTATTAGACCTCTAGTTAAGTTTAAGCCCTTCATAGGCTAGACTGGTGACTGGGATAATAAACTGGTGCCAGGTAATAAAGGATAGACTGGCGATGGTTTATAGACTGGAGACGACGGGTAATAAATTTGTGACTGGAGATACTTGATTGGTGACACATATAATAGACTGGTGACGGATAACTTACAAGAGTCCACCAACGGCAAAGTTCCCATATTTTCGTTGTTGACGAGACGTAAATAATTTGGTTAGGTCTTTAAGTTGTGAACAAGATGAACTTTGTAGCCCCCAAGTGTTCCTGTAGCCCCCCAAGTGTTCCTGTAGCCCTCAAGTGTTCCTGTAGCCCCCAAGTGTTCCTGTAGCCCTCAAGTGTTCCTGCAGCCTATACCCTCCTGGCAGCTAAAAAAAGTAACCTTCAACTTAATGAACAAATAAGCTCCAAAACAAATTCTCCAAGAAAATTGTAAAGTAACAGCATGCAATTTTTTTTTTATTTACTGAAAATAAATTATGTAAATACTCAACTCTACAATTACTTATTAGATAAATATTTCTATAAGGAAAAATAATTTGCATACGGGAAAAATGTAACCTAATTATACATGCATAAAAAGTAAGATTATAGGAGATACATTATAACTGATGGTAGAATCTTACAACTGGGGTGACTACTCTTCAGGTGAACCAAAATTTTGACATCACCTCCGGTATAAGAATGCGTCTCACATTTCACCAGAGATAGAAGCGCCCACAACCAATACAGATCCTAACAATATACTTTCCTACCGAGAAACAAACCCAATTTCCTGATTGAGGTACTGTTGAAACTGTCAGATCAAATATCTTAACTCTCTCACTCTCTCTCTCTCTCTCTCTCTCTCTCTCTCTCTCTCTCTTGAGTCTTAATTTCATTACCTTTCTTCAATGTGTAATAAGAATGACAACCCACTCACACCACCAACCAATCAACATTCACAGTGATGGGCAAGACAGCGAATCAGCATCCACTATGATATATGTGACAGCCAATAAGCATTTAGACGAGGAAGGAAGAACCAATCAACATTAAGAGTCGTTGCCTAGGACGTCAATCAGCGCGTGAAGCTCAGCACGAAACAACCAATCAGCAGTTAGTCAAGAATAAAAGGACCAATCAAAAGTTTGGAACATGAGATGTAAACAAATTCTTAAGACACTATGTAGCCCTTGAAGTTAAAAAGGCAAGGTCTAACTTCAAGATCCACCTTGGACTCTAAAGTCAAGATCAACCTTCAGAGGATGAGGTAACAAAAATTTATAATTTTTCAGGTCAGGATCAATTTTTTCAGTCTTAAAGAATTTGGCCAATAAGAGTTAAGAATATAAGAACAGTGTAAATGACCAATAAGAACACAGAAATATATAAACCAGGAAGTGTGGGAGTTAATATAACTTGTTGTCCAAAAGAGGAGTCCACTGGTACTGTACAGTATGTTGTGATGGAGGTGGCACTGATAAGTCCTGTCCCTGGAGCTAGTCTGGTCGGGTGGACCAAGGCCAGTCAAGCCGCTGGTGACTAACTACAGACTAGGCAATACTCCCAGGGGGAGCAGTGTCCTCAGTGATGTAACCATATGTTTAGGAGTGTGCGATCCGACTTCACAGAGAGAGGTCGTGCCACACTCACCCTGAGCTCTTCAATATTAGCAGTTTCTCTAAGTGGATCGACCAAGGAGGTAAGCCTGTGTATTTAATAGTGAAACCTTTCACAATAACTAGCCATCTCCTTTAATATAAATGTAAAATAAATATAAATAGTGTAATTTGATATTTACAGTATATAATCCTGTGATAACTTTGTACTGCTTGAGTAACAAGTGACTTTATACAGTGAATATAAAACTAATTATTTCCCCATACTCACTAACATAGTTGGTGTGGTGTATCAACCATTGATTAATATCACCTCCACATTGGGTTTTTGTCAGATTAATTAATGAACAATAAACAAATTATAAAAACCCAACAGAAGAATTAAAAAGCAAAAGGTCCATCAGATTTCTAGATGGCATACAAACCGCCCTAAATCTAAATAAAAATGACCAATAAAAATTACAAAGGAATTATCAGAAAATAAACCATCCAATGAAAAACGATTTAGACTTTTACTCCCTTTGTAGAATTAAAAGTGTAACACCAGTAAAACAGTCCACATGAGGCAGGTACAGGAAGTAATGCTTGGTGCACTGTATCCATTAGTTGGTGAAGACTAGTATTACATAGTATACAGGGCGATTCATCAGCAAAGAGTACATTAAATTGGAGGATGAAATCCTTGGATAATTCTAAACCACAATGTGCGTATGGTATAATGTCAGATTCTGCACAGTTTCCACGTTAAATACATTTAAGATGTTGTATTAATGAGTGAAACCCCCACAGGTTTTGGTAATAATTTATTCACAGATCTGTACAGCGTGACAGTTCTTTGTGACAACCTACAGGAAATGTTGCCCCCTTCTGCCTCAATACAGGCCTGTACACGTCGTACCATTAATTGTCTGAAGCGTTCCACAATGCCTGGACTATGTTTAATTTGCTTGCACCTGTCACGAACACGTGGGCGTATGCAGAATCCGACATTTTACCATACACACATTGTGGTTTAGAATTATCCAAGGATTTCATCCTCCAATTTTATGTAGTCTTTGCTAAAACACCCTGTATATAAATAATGAGAGGTGTGGAGGGGTGAAGAGCAGGGCAGAGGAAGGACGGGTACAGCAGGTCACAACTTACCGGAGGAGTAGGTGATGGTGCGGGCAGTGTCAGGTTCATCAGCGGCTTCAGAGCTGTGAGAGTCCTCTGTGGCATGGGCTGAGTCTACCTCCTGAGACGATGAGTCCGACGAAGTCACCGACGAGGTCACATTGTCCAGCGAGGGGTCCCGTGACACAGACACGCCCCTGGAGGCCCCGCTCGTCGCCAACTCGCTCCGTCCTCGGGGAGGCAAGATGGGAGTGGAAGTGTGGGTAGCGGAGGGGGTGAGGGCATGTGTGTGGTGACCATAGTCGTAGCTGTGGTCAGAGTCTATTGAGGAGTCTGTGCCACTGGTCAACCCTGATTTTTGACCTAGACTGGGGCGATGACCCAAGTGAGGTGACACTCTGCGGGTGCCGGGGATGGGGACGCTGCTGGTGGAGGTGCCAAGGTCCTGGCTACTGGCATCACGACTCTCACCTTTGTTAACCCCTGACGACGCCCGGACCTCCACCTATATGTAAGAAAGTAATAATCACAAGTGACATTTAATTTGTTTTAGAATTCTTGTAGTTTATACAAATGACTATGTTCTTACATACAAAAATGTGTGTGTGTGTGTGTGTGTGTGTTTATGCACACACATTATGTGTCTGTACATTTTATTTGTAAAAACTCAACAAGAATAATCCTCATTAAATATAGTTAGTATTCAAATTAGCCTAAAAGTGTGTCTTGTGTTTACTTCATCATTTACCTATATATGTGTTTGTAAAAATAGCAGCACCTCCATTAGTAGTTGTGAATGTATACTTCTGATGTAGGTGATCATGCATGTGTTAGTGTAGCAACAGTACCAGGTCACACCATATCAAAGTTAATATAAATCCACACACCTACGTCGAGGAAAGTTATGGTTCCGTAACTTTGTTCTTGGGAATAAAACAACATGAAGGTGACAGATCAGTTCCTTACAAAAATACAAGAGAAGAACAGAGACCACAAGCGTCCCTGACACAACTCAAGGACGACACACACTGAGGGAGGGTGAGGGGGACATGTTATCACTCGTACTTTGCGAGATGGTGCTCACCTTAAGCTCGGTCTCGCTCATGCTGCCCTTAGAGGCACTCTTATAAAGCGCCTGAGCCCTAGCCAACATGGCGCCTGAAGTGCTCTGTGGTTGTCGAGGTCGATCCTCCTGCTGACTCAATCTATCGTCCTCTCCTCTTCTTGTCAACTCCTCCGTCGTTGACTTTCTCCCAACTTCCTCTGATGTGGCCTTTCTTCTCAGGTCTTCAGAGATGTGTCTTCTATGTGGGTCTTCTGGGGCTTTTCTTCTGGCAGGATGGTCGTGGTGTTTCCTGTCATCCTCCTGGGGCCCTCTTCTGGTGGCCTCATCTATGGTGGCTCTCCGGGGCAGGTCGTGGGTGGTGGGGGGCCGCAAGGAGGAGGAGATGTCACTCACAGTCTTCCTCAGCTTCTGGTGCACCACGTCCACCGCATCCTGGGCCGTGTGTAACCCCGTTGACATGTGTAGCGCCACCTGTGAACCAACACCAGGTCAGGGCAGGTCACAGCCAGGTCAAGGCTGGCTTAGGCCAAGGGCTCAGGACCAGGTTACAATTTCATTACCAGGTACAGAAGGTTTATGACCAAGTTAAAACAATTTTTGGCCAGGTGGGAAAGAGCAGCAATAATGGCTCAGGTCTGGCCAAGGCAGGTTGTGAGCCAGGTAATGAAAGACTCGGTACCAGGTCTAAAAGGGTCATGGACTGTGGGGTTTACAGTCGAATCTAGGTTGATAACAATGGTTGGAGATCCTCAGACCAATCCAGGTGTGAAGACTTGAAGACATAGGTTTGGGAGACTTACAGCAAAAGTTAACTCCAGCAGAGAGCAACACACCAGGTACTACAGCTGACACTACAGCAAAAAAACATCTAAAAACACATTTCCAATTAAAACACTAACTTTTCGACTTCAAATAAAACTAAACCATCATTGCTCATGGTTTAAGATCCCCATCAAAATATTTATATGAAATTTGAATTAAATATTAGGTAGATTAAGATGGTAAAACTTCAACCAACAGTAAATATAAGTGATGGAAACCTGCCTACGAATATCATTTTCATTCTCACACCATCTGAAGTCATTAAATGGAGAAAACGAGAAAGAATGAACGAGTTAGAGAAAGAAAGAATGAACGAGTTAGAGAAAGAAAGAATGAATGAGAAAGAGAAAGAATGAGTCAGAGAAAGAAAGAGAAAGAATGAGTATACAGTACTCCTAAGCAGTATTTTTTCCCATGGGGTGTTTCCTGTACCCTGACAGCTCTGGGAACAATTATGGGGTGTTTCCTGTACCCTGACAGCTGTGGGAACAATTATGGGGTCTTTCCTGTACCCTGACAGCTGTGGGAACAAGTATGGGGTCTTTCCTGTACCCTGACAGCTGTGGGAACAATTATGGGGTGTTTCCTGTACCCTGACAGCTGTGGGAACAATTATGGGGTGTCTCCTGTACCCTGACAGGTGTGGGAACAATTATGGGGTGTTTCCTGTACCCTGACAGCTGTGGGAACAATTATGGGGTCTTTCCCATATTCTGGCAGCTGTGGGGAACTTCTGGGGGTCTTTCCTGTACCCAGGCAGCCGAGTGTGTGGCCCAAACTTCCCGGGTGATAAAATGGTTCATCAGACTGTTATTTCTTGAAGCTTCTCACAGCCTGCTTGATCAAGCACTTTTTGGAGGAACGTAACGTGTTCTCTGGAAGACTTATACTGGGAGACCACTGATGTTTTTGCGTGTTGGTAATACTGTAGAGCCTAGTGTTGGTAATACTGTAGAGCCTAGTGTTGGTAATACTGTAGAGCCTAGTGTTGGTAATACTGTAGAGCCTAGTGTTGGTAATACTGTAGAGCCTAGTGTTGGTAATGCTGTAGAGCCTAGTGTTGGTAATACTGTAGAGCCGAGTGTTGGTAATACTGTAGAGCCTAGTGTTGGTAATACTGTAGAACCTAGTGTTGGTAATACTGTAGAGCCTAGTGTTGGTAATACTGTAGAGCCTAGTGTTGGGTACTGTAGAACCTAGTGTTGGTAATACTGTAGAGCCTAGTGTTGGTAATGCTGTAGAGCCTAGTGTTGGTAATACTGTAGAGCCTAGTGTTGGTAATACTGTAGAGCCTAGTGTTACTGTAGAGCCTAGTGTTGGGTAATACTGTAGAGCCTGGTAATACCCTAGTGTTGGTAATGCTGTAGAGCCTAGTGTTGGTAATGTTGTAGAGCCTAGTGTTGGTAATACTGTAGAGCCGTGTTGGTAATACTGTGCCTAGTGTTGGTAATGCTGTAGAGCCTAGTGTTGGTAATGCTGTAGAACCTAGTGTTGGTAATACTGTAGAGCCTAGTGTTGGTAATGCTGTAGAGCCTAGTGTTGGTAACTGTAGAGCCTAGTGTTGGTAATAGAGCCTAGTGTTGGTAATACTGTAGAGCCTAGTGTTGGTAATACTGTAGAGCCTAGTGTTGGTAATGCTGTAGAGCCTAGTGTTGGTAATACTGTAGAACCTAGTGTTGGTAATACTGTAGAGCCTAGTGTTGGTAATACTGTAGAGCCTAGTGTTGGTAATACTGTAGAGCCTAGTGTTGGTAATACTGTAGAGCCTAGTGTTGGTAATGCTGTAGAGCCTAGTGTTGGTAATACTGTAGAGCCTAGTGTTGGTAATACTGTAGAGCCTAGTGTTGGTAATACTGTAGAGCCTAGTGTTGGTAATGCTGTAGAACCTAGTGTTGGTAATGCTGTAGAGCTTCAAATATAAACAAGACCTCCAAAGGGAAGGGACAAAACAGAGTGTTTGTGGTGGAATTTTCACTCACCCAATTGAAAAACAATAATAATAATCCAGTTTTTGGTGACAATCTGACAACTAATCATTAATACACAAGATTCATATATGTACACATTAAGATACACACACATTTGAGCTGACTAGTGTTTACAAGATAAAAATTGTAATGGTCTAGTTCGTAACATTCAACTCAAAATAAAAAATTCATCTAAAATTTTTACCCAACACATTTTTACAACTTTGGAAAATTAACAAAACTTGCTGGGGGTAGAAATAATATCCAGCACTTCCAGTTGTACTACAGACTCGACCAGTTGTGTTTCACCGTTTTTCGTATTTCTCGAGTCACGTAAATAGAAATGTGAAGTTCGATCATTTCAAATATCAAAATATAAGAGTATATCCTGCACTAAACAACATGAACAACTGCAAAACTCGAGTTACGTCGCCCGTTAGTTCAACAAGATGTGAATTACAGGTGCTCACCAGCCCACAATTCCCCAACCTTGTTACGTCACAAAACTCTCACCACAAACGGGATAAACTGGGCGGCCCCTGAACCAAAATATCCTCCTCACTCCGTTGCACCTGTCAGCTCTCGTCCAATATAAATAATAAACAACCACTATACATGCGCCTCACTCACCCCTTCCAGGCCGACATAATCTCTCAGGGAAGTCTTGTATATTTTGGCGTGGGCCGTGGTGGACCTGGTAGACGACCCCCGTGGACCACTACTGACCACATCGCTCACTCCACCTCCCTCTGTCCCCGACTCTTCCCAATTCTCGCAATCCCAGTCCTCCTCTGTAAGAAAGGTTACATTGGGTTGGGTTAGGTTAGGTTAGGTGGAAAAATTATGCTGAAGTGTGAATGTAGTGTGCGTGTGTGTGTGTGTGTGTGTGTGTGTGTGTGTGTGTGTGTGTGTGTGTGTGTGTGTGTGTGCATGTGTGTGTGTGTGTGTGTGTGTATGTGTGTGTATGTATGTGTGTGTGTGTGTGTGTGTGTGTGTGTGTGTGTGTGTGTGTGTGTGTGTGTGTGTGTGTGTGTGTGTGTGTGTGTGTGTGTGTGTGTGTGTGTGTGTGTGTGTGTGTGTGTGTGTGTGTGTGTGTGTGTGTGTGTGTGTGTGTGTGTGTGTGTGTGTGTGTGTGTGTGTGTGTGTGTGTGTGTGTGTGTGTGTGTGTAGTGTGTACATGTATGTGTGTAATGTGTACATGTGTGCAGTGTGTACATGTGTGCAGTGTGTACATGTGTGCAGTGTGTACATGTATGTGTGTGTGTTTTAAGAGAAACACACACACACCAAATTCCCAACACCCCACAAAACATCACAACCAACATAATATATGACAAATAATTCTATTCCTCCTATACAAATAACAACAAATACACGATAATACTGTATATAATGGGTAGAGCCCTGTATGGTATATCCCCTCGTATCACTCCAACCTGACACTCGCCTAATACTCTAATCTTTCACCTTTCCGACCCTGATACTCCCTCAATCCCGAGCCCTTTCCCCAATACTCGCCTAATACTCCAATTTTTCACTTTGCTTCACCCTGATATTCACCTAATACTCAACATTCCTTCCCCTCATTCACCTAATACTCACCTAATACATCAGAGTCTTTTCTCTCCTTCGGGGCATGGTGGTGTGGTGGGGGTGTGGGCGTTGGGTGGGTGGGGGTGGGGGTGGGTGTGGATGGGGAGTCCTCTGCCAGACCCACCATTTCGGAAGGCGGTCGCTTGTAGCCGGAGATAGCCACGTTGACCACCCCACTACTGCTGCTGGTGTGAACGCTCGTCTGTCTGCTGCACAGGACAACACACGGGGTCACCGGGTTAATATAAACTATACATACATACTGATTGGTGGACTAAATATATTAAAGAGATGATGACTATGATGAACATTGATAGATTAACTGACAATGATATACAATAAACAGTAATAATGATCACAGACACACAACGACCTCACAGTTCCCAGACCCCACACCACTCATCCACACCTCACCTTCCATACTGTCAGCCTCAAAGACTAATTCAATTATTGTGTATATCAAAAGTCAAGTGTTAATACCCTCAACAAGTCTGCCTGTGTCGATGTTCCCTATATTTGTTTAGTTCTCAGTTAAATTATTTTATTATTGTAATTAGTTTTGATTGATGGATTGATTATATAATATACCAGGCATCATTATACTCATGTACCCCACTTGTGTATTTATATACACACACACACACACACACACACACACACACACACACACACACACACACACACACACACACACACAGCCAAAAAATTTATAAAAATAAAAACTCATACATAAAAACATCTGCCACAAATTAAACACACTGACAGACCTTGGTGTTGGAGCCTTGAGAACCTCATCTAAGGAGCGAGCTGACGCAGGTACCTGAGGGAAGACACACACATTGATGAGTCACCTGACCAATTATTAGTTAAGGAAAGAGTCTCTTTCTGTGTACTGGGGAAAAATGTTATGTAGTGAGTGTGTGGGTGTAGTGAGTGTGTTGGAGGTGTGGGTGTGTTGGAGGTGTGGGTGTAGTGAGTGTGTTGGAGGTGTGGGTGTAGCGAGTGTGTTGGAGGTGTGGGTGTAGTGAGTGTGTGGGTGTAGCTAGTGTGTGTGTGTGTTCAACAATAACGGCTATAAATGAAAATACAAACATAAAATGCACACGATTACAGAGAAAAAAATTAAAACATTACAACAATAATTACACAACTAACGTATTTATGACTGCCTGTCAACATCCGTCTCTTAGGCAATTTTCCGACACTAACTGGTGCCAGACACCCCCCACGCTCACACACACACACACACGAGATAAAGTCTAGCCAGGGAGTGTGGACGCTGCGAGAGCTTCACTTGTACTGGAATAATAAACTGTTACAGGGGGCGGCATATGTACTCTGGAGGCCGTAGTGAAGTGAATTAATCAGGTGAGCCAATTGACTCGCATGTGTGGTGGTGCTTCAAGTGGTGAACCAGGTTATGTTAAAATCTTGGGTCATTTTTACATCTCCTCGTGGGTGATGTCTGTCTGTGTGTATTTTGTCCACAGATAAAATTCAAAACATGAACCACCGCCTAACAAAACCAAACCAAATCATATTCTAACCTAACCTAATCCTAACCCAACCAAACCTAACTAAACTAATCCAAACCCATGCTTAACCTAACCTATAACCCACCTGGTAGTGCTCTGGCTGGCCGAAGATCTCATTGGCGAACATAATAAGCAGTTCAATGGCCCGAGTCTGGTGTACAGTGTCGACCAATGAACTGAGGGACGCCGAGCCTTCTGATGTCCGTAGCAACGTTGGTCCAAACACAATACCTGGGAAAGGAGGAGAGTGGGGAGATGAGTGAGTGGGGTAGTGGTGGTTGGGGCTAAGAGAGGGGGGTGTTGAGAGGGAAGTGGGTTAAATGAGAGGGGAATGAGTTCGTGGAGTATTGGTGATATGGGGTCAGAGGAAAGAGGTAAATTAATGAGTGGAGAATGAGTGAGATGGGTAGAGGTGGTATAGGGTTGGGTGAGGTTGTGCCATACTCACCTAGCCTGGAGTAATGTGACATATTACGTGCCATCACTCACCTAGATTGAAATAGGCAAACAGACCGTGTAAGGTGACGGCATAAAGGTGACGTCTCACACACACTCACCTAGATTGGAGGAAGGCATGTTGTTGAGGTGAGCATGTAAGGTGACACGGTGCAGGTGATGCATGAGGAGAGCCAGGCAGGTGAAGTGGTGGCGAGGCAGTCGACGCACTAGGTCTCTCAGGTCCTCTGTCGTGCGGCCACACTCGCCTCCTGTGGGACACTCCTTGGCAATCCTGAAGGACAGACACTCGGTTCAGCGATCAGCGAGATATCTTAAGGTGCACAACATGGTGCTCAGGAAGAGTTTTAAAGGGTTAAATCATCAGTATCTTAAAACAGACCACAAAGGATTAAACTAACTCCCCAAAACTGTCTAAACCACTGTTAACAAAGAGCTGGAAGACGACATGGGGTCCACAGCAGATTATTCAAATGTTGTTACAGGAGACAACATATAAACAAGGTTATTAATATACCACACATACATGAGAGGTCCTACAAACGAGGTTATGTATCAACACTTGTCACTTAAACGAGGTTACTGATATACGATACATACAGAGACTAGCGAGAAAAGTCCTACAAACGAGGTTATGGGAGAAGACCAGTCATTTAAACGAGGTCATTAAGATAGGATTTACACAAGCAAGTTCACCGATAGAGAAGTCCTACAAACGAGGTTATAGGAGACATAATCCAAGTTCTCATTATGACTGGAGGATGATCCACTAAGTCGTACTTATAGTAACGAGATCCAGGAATATTCAGGTTGTGTTATGTAACTTTTGCTTTAGTGAAGATGGTGATAACGAGGGTGGTCGATGTGTCATTGATGGTGAAGGTGATGATGGTGGTGGTGCTGAAAATGAGTATGGTTAATAACTCACTATCACTGCTGGAAGTCTTGTTCAATATTTACCTTCATTACCCTGGTTAGATTCCCTATAAATAAATTATGTCCATTATAACTATATTGTGGAGTTGTGGAGGAAGGGGAGGGTGGAAAGGGGAAGGTGGAAAGGGGAAGGTGGGGTTAGGAATTGTGGAGGAGGAAGGGGAGGGTGGAAAGGGGAAGGTGGAAAGGGGAAGGTGGAAAGGGGAGGTGGGGAGGGGAAGGAGGAGGGAGGGGGAGGAGGGAAAGGGGGGAAAGGGGAAAGGGGGAAGGAGAAAGGGGAAAGGGGAAGGAGGGGGAAAAGGAGAAAGGGGGAAAGGGAAAGGGGAAAGGGGAAGGGGAAAAGGGAAAGGGGGAAAGGAGGGAAAAAGGGGGGAAAGGGGGGAAAGGGGGGGGGGAAGGGGAGGGAAAGGAGGGGAAAGGGGGAAGGAAAGGAAGGGGAAAGGGGAAGGGGAAAGGGGAAAGGGGGGAAGGGGAAAAGGGGAAGGGAAAAAGGGGAAAGGGCGGAAAGGGGCGGAGGGGGAAAGGGCCGGAGGAAAGGGAGGGGAGGGAGATGCCTTGTGATCACATCCTCCCCTCCATTATTCCCCCCCACACAAAACACCTTTATTACCTGTGTTCCATAATCCTCTCCTGTCTTTACATGCTCCCTTCCCCTTGCACACATCCATGCCTCACCACCCCTCTACCCCAGAACCTCTCCCTACCACTCACATATCCTTCTCACTGGCTCATTAAATATCCCTCTCATCCTCCTCTCTTGTTTTGGCTTTCCCTTCCTCTGCAATAAACAATGCCCCCTCCAACACACACGTTCACGCCCCTCACACACACGTTCACACGCCCTTCAACACACCTAATCACCGCAATCACCGCCTTCACACCTCAATCACCCCTTCAACACACCTCAATCACACGCCCCTTCAACACACCTCAATCACCGCCCCCTTCAACACACCTCAATCACCGCCCCCCTACAACATACACCCCTCTATCACCCACCCCCTTCAACCCACACTCCATCAATCACCTTTCTCTCTCAACACCCCTCAAACAACTCCCTTCACCCTCATCAACTAATTGCCAAGGCTATTAGGTTCATTAGCAACATAGTAATGGTTTGTCGGGTCAGGTGAGACTCCCATCATCTCTCACGCCACACAAAAACAACCTCCATCCTCTCCATCTTGGGTGGATACAGGAGGGAGGAGTGAGAGGGTGATGGGGAGGCAGAGGGAGGGTGATGGGGAGGGAGGAGTGAGAGGGTGATGGGGGGAGGAGGAGGAGGAGGGTGATGGGGAGGGAGGAGTGAGGGTGATGGGGGGAGGGTGGAGTGAGAGGGGTGATGGGGGAGGGCGGGAGGGGGTGATGGGGGAGGGAGGAGTGAGAGGGTGATGGGGGAGGGAGGAGGTGAGAGGGTGATGGGGGAGGGAGGGAGAGGGTGATGATGAGAGGGGATGGGGGGAGGAGTGAGAGGGTGATGGGGGAGGGAGGAGTGAGAGGGTGATGGGGGAGGGCGGAGTGAGAGGGTGATGGGGGAGGGCAGGGTGACTAAATTGTAAAGGGTAATTAAATTCAGCCACTATAACTTTTTGAATATAAACTAGATAGATAAGAGTTCAGTGACCACATGAGGATGATGCCTGAATCATCACAAAGCACTGAAGTATAAATATTGAAGTCGACTTTCTGAAGGTTCACTATGTATGTGTGTGTGTGTGTGTGTGTGTGCAGGGGTCTCCAGTTGTACTCTTGGGAACCTTGTACGCCCCCCCCCCCCAACACACGCTCCCAGCACTTCACCACCACACACACCACTTTCCTCGCTTCAGTACCACACAAACCCTCTGCTACCAGTAGAACTACCACGTACTCCGTCCAGAAATTCCATACTACCACACACAGACAGAACAAGTAACCACAAAGTAGGCACATTGTCTTTGAGGGCGTTCATTAGCCTGATCGTGTGTCTCTCTCAGTGTAGGAGGGTACTTATGGTGTGTACAAAGAGGACGACTCATTTGTGCCTCTCTACCCTGGCTCAGGGTGAGAGGAGGATTAGTGGCACACTCTCTCGCCATCTTTAAATGTACCAGACTCCTCCTTAACCCCTTGAGTGGCCAGATGCTCATATATGTGTGTGTGTGTGTGTGTGTGTGTGTGTGTGTGTGTGTGTGTGTGTGTGTGGTGAGTGAGTGAGTGAGTGAGTGAGTGGTGAGGTGGTGGTGGTGGGGTGAGTGGTGAGTGAGGTGAGGTGAGTGAGTGAGTGAGTGAGTGAGTGAGTGAGTGAGTGAGTGAGTGAGTGAGTGAGTGAGTGAGTGAGTGAGTGAGTGAATGTTTTGGTGGGGGCAAGGGGCTCTATTCCTTATATAGAAATGTCACTCCGAGAGCAAACACCGAGTCTAGCGTTGTGTGTGTAGCACCAGCGAGGCATCACCACCCGCTAGGCTCTCCCCATAAACCTAACTCGTGACACGGCTACAAATCTGTCGACCTTTCATTGTATGTTAGGTTGACTGCTTCTCATGACCTACTGTAGTCAGCTGCTGCATTAATTACACCATGTTCTCTGAGGCAGTTGGTTAGAATACAAACACCGAAATTAAAAATTACTTATTCAGCGTGTGGCTACAGTTATCCTCAGTTACCTCCAGCAACGTATTTGTTGAGGTGAAGATGTTTGTGTTGTGTTTGTTCATCAGCCATCTATATCTCACTGGGCTGAGGCGTTGATGCTAACCACATTACAGGACACGCTAAGCTTGATTGAGTAGCATAAGGTACATAGACTTGTGGGAGCTGTGTCCAGATTCTCTAAAACTTTGTTAATCTTGCCATAACTGAAGAAAACACATCTATTGCCGATAAAAACAATAAAAACAGTAATTTTGGCAGCGATCTCTGTGTCGTCATTCAAGTGAGAAAATGAGATGTCTTGAAGCCTCTAAGGGGGAAATTCAATTTATGAATCTTAAAACCCAGACCTTGATCTTGTTGGCTGAGGCTGGGAAGTGGGTTTCATTATTAAGATCTTGTGGATGGTGAAGACATGTTGGTTGAGGTTATTTGTTTTCAAGGGCTTGGGGAGATGTATACGATGATCTGCCAGACTATGTGACTCTAGTATACCAAAGAACATATAAAAATAAAACCCAGGGTATTAGCCACATGGGTCCGACGTCACATTTAACTAACAGGTCGAGATCTCGGGGGTATATCTTTTCCTTTGGCCAGGAAATATCAAACAGTTTCCCTTGAAGGAATGCGATTAAACTTATAGTGCTGTACAAACACATCTATAAGTAATAATCTTATGAGTCGTCATCCCCTTTTCTCCAGTCATATCCAACCAATACACTATCACCATCCACCCATCCATGCAACCCCACAAAGTCTCGTGTCACTATTCTTCACCGTCCATAATCCTATCCATCCTACATAACATCATCAACTTTAGACTTAGGGGGAACTGCATCATAGCCATTATGTCTCCAAATTCACTAATAGATTGGTCATACACTGGACGAGCCGGTAACACCCAGGGGGCCACAGGGAGTGATGGCCGAATATTGAGAGAGAGAAGGGATGATGGGAGGGAAGAAGAGAGAAAGATAATGTAGGAAAGTCACTTGAATTTACAACAAAATCCGACGGTTCACAAAGCTTGACGTCGTCATCACATTGAACATGACTTTGTGTAGTTGTTATTACATCAACAAACAGACAACCAAACAAACACCAAATGCTTCATATTGCCACAAGTTGATGGGATAGAAACTATGAAGTAATGTGGTACTTAATGTTATGTTATGCCAAATCTCCAAGCCTCTAGTTAGGAGATCTTAGACGCCCCCAAATGGTCTCTATCTGACCCACCGTAACCCTTCCCTTCCCGTGTCTTTTTCACCAGACCTGACCTAACCCCTCATCACCTCGCCACTAACTCACCTGATAAACTCTGGGTAGAGCCTGAAGGTGAGGAGGGGCTCTGGCAGCTGACGGAGGTAGAGCTTGAGGACGTTGGCGATCACATTTGGGTGTTGGTCGGTGAGATCGACGAGGTTGGCGCCATTCTCAAAGGCCTGACATAACTTCTCCACCCGGCTCTTGACGCCCGACACCCGGTAGATGCCCTGAAGGAGGAGATAAAGTAAACTTAAAAAGGATTTATGGTGATTTAGGTGTGGAAACTGTTGATTTATGGTGATTAATGGAAACTAATATAACTGAAAATTATGTATATGAGCACTCAAGGCAATTAATGTAACTAAGTGGGATTTAACAAGACTTACGGGGATTTAGTTACAATGTCTGGAAGGTGATTTATGACAGGTGCAAGATTTTATGGAGAAAAGGCAATTTGTGGCGACCAAAAGTTATCAACAGAAGCCTTGATGAACTCCTAGGGATCAGGCAATGTATGCTGAATAAATGTAATCTATTGTGACAGAAGAATTCAAGAAAGATTAATACATCTTAGTTGAGAGGATTTGTGAGCAACAAAGGGGATTTAGGAGGATCCACAGTGATTTATGGTGACCAAAGGAAATATATAGCTACACTCCTCTCACTCTCTCTCCACTTTCCTCCCTCTCTCTCTCTCTCCACCCTTCACTTTCCTCCCTCTCTCTTTCCACCCTTCACTCTCCTCCTCCCTCAAAAGGTGGAGAAAATTTGTGTCCATTTCTTCCCAATGCATCAACACCTCCACCTCCTGCTGCCTCGTTAACTCCTATTGTTGGCCAAGGATCTGTAGAACTATTGATCTCTCTCTCTCTCTCTCTCTCTCTCTCTCTCTCTCTCTCTGACACACACACACACACACACCTTCAATCATTTTACCCTGGGCTGCCCACCTTCTCTCGACCCACCCTGATCATGTTACCCCAGGCTGCCCACCATCATAACCCACCTTGATTTTGGTACCTCGAGCATCAATCTCAGCCACACACTTGACCACCAGATGAGGTATGGATGTGTTCGTCTCACACAGGTGCTGCGCCAAGTCCACCCCAAAGGTTGTCATCTTCCGGGGCAGTCTCTTGTGACCACACTGTATGGCTAGTGTCTCCAGGCACTTTTTATGACACCCTAGACCACACTGTTGGCACCGAGAGTTACTGGTTAGTGATGCTGGTGGTATGAGTGTGGTGATGGTGGTTGTAGTGACTGATATGATTAGGGTGATGGTGTTTGTGGTGACTTATGATTAGGGTGATGGTGGTAGTGGTGATAGACTTGGTGTTGTAGTGGTAGATATGATGGTTGTGGTAGTGATGATGGTGGAAGTGATGAGGGTAATGTGCATGACAATGGCCTGGAACATGATTCCCAAGCTTAAAATACTGATCATATACCAAAGGTAACAATACTAAGAACAAGAACAAATGAAAAATAATACTAACAACAAACAAATAATAATGATAACTTGAAGAACAAAAATGTTAATAATTATAATGTTTAATAGCAACAACATACAATACAGTACCTCAGCACACTCGTAGCCGTGAAAGTAGACGTAGGAATCACACTCCCGACACCTCGAGGGCGTCTTGAGCTTCCTGAAGGTGTGGGTGACGGCAGCCTTGCTCATCACCTGACGTCTGGCGGCGCCGTAATTGTAGTGGGCGTCCGCTGGGGGAGGGGGAGGAGGGGTGGTGTAGGTGTTAGTTTAGTCATGGTTGCTTTATCATTCACACTACCTTTCTACCCCAGACTCTCTCTCTCTCTATCCTTTATTCTCTCATCTTTTTCTTTCTTCCCCCCATTCTCCCCATCATCGATTCTCTCATTATCTTCCCCCGTCGCAAATTAAACTCTAGTGGTAATTAATTTCTTTCCTCCCTCCACCTACCTCCCCACTCCCTTAATACCTCACCCTCCTTCACACTACCTTACCTCACACTGACTCTCCCTCACACTAACTCACTCTCCATCACATTCCCTAATACTCACCAGTGTCAGGGTCAGTCTCCAACTCATCCCCGGAAGAGATGGTGTGAGTGCGTCGAGCTGGGGCGAGAGGCGAGGCCGTGGGCGAGGCGTCCACACTCTTGGCCGAATGTGACGAACCCACACTGTCCGTATCACTGCCCCCGTGGCCACCAACCCCACCCACTGATGCCCAAACATCCCCGGACAGATGGGTGGGAGGAATTCACGGACAGATGGATAGAGTTGCAGGTACAGCCACGATGGATGGAAGGAATGGATGCAAGCAGCCAAGGTTGAATAAGAGGAGGAAGAGAGAATAATTCATTAGTTAGACAAATGAAGGCAATATCATTATAAATATTATGACTCGTTCTCCAGTATCAGGTCCAGCCTTACGTACAGGTCGCCCTCTGAACTGAATAACGTCGTCAGACATTAACCAATTCAATATCACAAGTAATGTCCTCTTAACAAAGGGATTAAACTAAAATAATTCAAAGGGTCCCAAGAAACTACAAATTTTATTGAAAGTAAATTGACATAATCAACCCCAAAACTCATCTCCTAAATATAAAATTTAATTGTTCTTAAGGCATTCTATCATCTTTTGTCGCATGTTTGTGTGTGACCATGGGAATAAAAAACAACAGGTGATGCAAACGCTGAGTGGAGGAAGATATGTTGACTTACAAGACACAGCCCACACAGACACAAGCCCAGTCACACTATAAACATCCTCATTACCTTACCAATAAAATACCATATCAACATTTCACTCTCATCTGACCCATTGAAATAACACTGAAATACATCACATATAACCTATAATAAAGATATAAAATAAAATACAAAATAGCTCACAAGTTTATAGACAAAAGTGAGTACTCCTGTATAGGAAAATTGAAACAAGTTACCCAATATACGCAGAAAAAATCTCTCTCGGATCAGAGTTGAACTTGCATCAGAGAAATGTACGTTTTGTAATGAAACATCACAGGGCGAAGACTGCCGAGTCTTGGGGGTGAAGTGGTGAGGTCAAGAGGCTTAGGTCTTTGAACATAGGGAGAGGAGTGGTCTTAACAGATCTTTTGATGGAAGAGGTTGGGTTTTGTTTTTAACCCTTTGAGGAGGATAGTTTAACCCTTAAGGATGATAATTTAATCCTCTGAAGACGAAAATGTCGGCCATCATCCTCAATAAATTAACCAATTCTTTTAAACCTCATTATGTAAATGAATCAAACCATCGTGGCAAGAGTAACAGTACTTGGTAACATTATCAAAACACCAGATCTATTATCCTAGATCAACCCACCTTGGAGGTCATCGGTGGAGGTCATGGAGCCATTAGCGGTAGGGTCATGGTTGGGTGGGTCCTGGGTGCCCGGTGTGTACGGCTGGAAGGTGAAGGGCGTCTCCGGTTGCTCCTGACCGAGCGAAGGACCGAGTCGCTTCACAAATTCCATATATTGAGACCCCGGCTCATATAGCCTTGAGCTCTCACAGAGTGTCTGAAGCTGTGGGGAGAAGAGTGTGAGTGTGGAGATGATAATGGTGGGGGTGTTAGAAACATGAGGGAATGTGTGGGGAGACAAGTTGGTGGAGTGTTAGAAATATGGAGAGATGTGGGGATGGGGCGGGGGTTAGGGGGGTGTCAAACAATGTCTGTGTATAATATATAAGGGAGAAATGGTGAGAGTAGAGGAGTGGAGTGGAGAGTGAGGGTGAGAAGGTGAAGAGCATGAGATGGAGGGGCAAGATGTGGGAGAGGGGAAGTTTGAGAGGAAAGGAGAGAGCATTACATATTACACTACGGTGGTTAAACATGAGAGAGCAGCTTTTTCTTTTTTTATATAAACCGTAATTAAATAAAGAATAACTCACTATAAACCAGATATAATTAAAAGCAAAACCCCAACACCTTCTTGGAAACAGAACCCAACTATAAACTTATTTTTTTCAAGTTATGGTCAATAATTCCAAGGTGGCAAGAACGATTTCTATTTTTGCTCTTTGATGTCGAGAAAGATTTGTCATTTCACCCGCAGCCAAACACATCCACACAAAAGCAGGGAATGACTTTTGTAATACGGATGAATAGAACAGCTTCCTGCTTCTCTCTTTCGCTTCTCTTTATTCCCTCTCTCAGTTTCTCTCCTCCATCTACCCTATCCCCCCTCTCCTAAGCCACTGCCATACGAGTATAAAAACTATTCTTTTATAGACGTACTGTATATACAGTTACCAACCTTTCATCATCCAAACACTTCCACAGACATAAAATGGTAACTTTCTTTTGCTGTACAGAAAAACCTCTTTATATCCTTCCCCCAAAGCTACTGCCTCACTCTTCCCCTTCCCCCCTATTCCTGGCCAAAACACTTCCCCCATCCCCTTATCCCATCCATTTCTGATGCATATAAAGTAACTTGGCTTTCTCTGCTTCTCCTCACCCGAGGTCTTCCACACGCAAACAAAAAATAACTTTCCTCCGATACACAAAAGAAAAAACAAACACCAAACACCCTTTTTAACACCTTTAGTTCTTTCTTGTAACCTTTCCAGAAAATGGAATTTTTGGTCTGATTAAAGAAGGGGAAAGATAAAAATTGCCTTTCCTACCTTTTCCTTTCATATGTGAGTGAATAGAATGTATGATTTCCTCTACCCTACCAGACCCCAATTAACCCCCACACACTTATGCAGGAAATCTGGGACCAGCAACATAATCGAGAACTAATTATTGCATCCATTAGTGTACAACATCCATGCTGGCAACACTCCCACCTATCAATTATTACGCCCACCTGATCACTGTTTCCAGGCGGCCAATTATCATAAACATGTGACAGACACGGACGATACGGCTCTTTCTCTGTAATAAATTCTCAATAACGGTCATTTTCACGGACCAAATACCTGTTAGGGCGGCTACAGGGAACGAGTAACTGCGAGTGTCTGGTGCTCGCAGTCCAGCCGGCTTACACCGACCAGATTGATTGATTGATATAGATAGATAGATACAGATAAAGATATGAGTTAGATAGATATACAGGGTGTCCCATAAATTTCCATACATAGGAAAAATAAATTTTATATGAAAATCCATTTATATTTATATAATATGCTCTACAGTACATGACTACCATTCTGTTGAATACACTCTTCAATGTGTGTCCTCCACTCCTGAAGAACACGTTCAAGTACAGCTGGAGTTATGCTTGTAATGGCGTTGGTGATACGTTGTATGGAAACTTATGGGACACCCTGTATATAGATAAGATACAAATATAGATAAAGATAAGAGATAGATATAGATAAAAATAAGAGATTAAGATAGACACAGACGATAGATACAGATTGAGAGGATAGACGGCCGGGCAGACAGACATCCGGAAAAGTTTAATGTCAGTGAGCGAGATACAGGATGTACTTCAGCAGCCCCGGGAAGGAATTATTTACAACTTTTATATTCCAGATGTTGAAGCCATAACAATAAGAGTTCCATTAGATTACATTTCTCAGCTGTTATAATATTTACAATTCAACTTGAATTAGTCCCTTGGGTGAGATGAATCAGCTCACTGAGTAAGATATTTCACCTCCAGTATTTATTCCCAAGAGAACAATGACTTAAACCCTACAGTATAATGTCTATGCCACTATCCACACCCCTCTTTTGCAGGAACCACTAACATCATCTCTCTATCACCACTTCTCCTGCACCACTAACTATACACCACCTCCCCAGCACCACTAACTATACACCACCTCCCCAGCACCACTAACTATACACCACCTCCCCTGCACCACTAACTATACACCACCTCCCCAGCACCACTAACTATACACCACCTCCCAGCACCACTAACTATCACCACTTCTCCTGCACCACTAACTATACACCACCTCCCCAGCACCACTAACTATACACCACCTCCCCAGCACCACTAACTATACACCACCTCCCCAGCACCACTAACTATACACCACCTCCCCTGCACCACTAACCACACACCATTAACCCCAACACCACTCACCTGTACAGGGGCCGGGGCGGCCACGGTGTGTTGGAGCTGGAAGTAGCCGACAGTAACTGCCTTCATGGTTTGGTCACACTGAAGGATGAGCTCGCGCGCCTGTACAAGCACCTCACGCTTGACCTTGAGGAGGGAGGCGTGGCGCTCATTAGCATCGGCGACACACGTCTTGTACCAGGTCTCTGCCTCCTTCGCCTGTAACACATGTGTCTTGGGTAAACTATATCACATTATCAACTAAGAATAAGGACAAAAGATTAATTTTGATATAAACAAAATACTAAATAATAAACTTAAATACTAACAATAATAAAATACATAATCAACAAAGGTTTAATAAATCGAAAAATAATAAAATGTTTGGTAAAATTATAGTCTCAGTCATCAGTGAATTTTTGGATTTTAAGTTTTAGAATTGATAGTCGAGACAATTCTCGACTTTCCGTCTATAGCATTTCCATCGGAAATTTATATTTTTCTAGCATTTTAACCGATAAAATCATCACCAAGATTACTTGTTTAAAGAGGGCAGGGCTTCGCAGTAGTGGAATATCAACAAAACAGATCTTCTCGTGACTTACAATAACCTCGGTTCAAAATAAATTACATTCCAATTCAACAGATTTTTTTTTTTGGTCATACTACCAGAAAATAACTTGGCACAAGAAACAGTTGCATTATTTTATTTACATGAAACATTTCAGCTTGTTATAATACCTAACCTACAGTTTATATTAATGAAAAAATACATGGGTTACCCACCTTTTGGTAGGCCTCATCCCGCTTTCTTTCTAGTTTTTCCAGTCCTTCTGTGTATTCTGCTCTTGATAATAGTTCCCTCATCTTCATCAACTCCTGCAGGGAGATAAAGAGTATTATCATCAACAATATTATCATTAACCTAACCAATATTATCATCACCGACTCACTGTTGGGCCTATGATGAATTAGGGAATAACATATATATGAGAAGAAGAAGAAAAGAGAGACACTACCACTTCCCTATGTAATAATTGTCAACTGGCCCAATTAGGAGGGCCACACTAGGTCCTGGTGATAGAACTCGGACCAACTATCCTCCCAGTTTTACACGATGATTACTTAAAGCTGGCTAAACATAATAAAATACAGTAAAACCTCGATTAACCGACCACATAGGGGGGAAGGGGCCGACGGATAATCCGAAAGATCGGTTAATGCATAAAGTCTACGGACATAAAACATACATTTACAAAGTAACTTTCCCTAACCTACCTCATTTAATTCCCTCTATTCATTTTTTTCATTTGCCATTCATATTTCAATAGAATTTGCTTTAAAACATTAACCACTTTAGTAAATAAATATGAACCAGCACAGAAACCGTGAATAAAAAAATAAAAATGGAAAAGTCAAAGAACATAATTATGTCATCACAAAAATTGTGACCAAGTCCCAGGTTGCTGATCTGACTTTCTACCTCATTTACACACAATTGCAGGGTCTCAATTGCTTCTCTTACTATTGACAACACAACATACATATATTGTTTCTCACTCTTGATTTTGTTTTCATTTTTGCATTTATTTATGGTTCTTTATTACTATTATTATCATTATCATTATTAATATTATTACATTATCACCCCCCAGGCCTCAATGTGGGTCAGTGACCTGTGCCCGGGTGGGCTAATCCCCGTAAAACAAAAAACAAAACAAAATTTTTTTTAGGAGTTCGGGATTGACGGTTAATCCGAAAGTCGGTTAATCGAGGTTTTACTGTATTCCCCTCAACCACGTAAGGACAGCTGATATGCCTGACTGGATAACACGATTCACCTAAGACAAGACGTACCAAGTCTCTCTATACGTAACATGAAGTATTGTATATAATAGTTAACCTCCAAAATGATTAATGAACAAACAGAAGACACGTGGTAACTCAGGATCAGTTCTCTACAACCTTGCCAACTGTTAAAAAGTTTCCCAGAGCGTTCGAAGGCTGATTATTTTCTGGCACTTTCGTACAAAACTCGCACGGTGGGAGATGACTGGACGGACACCAGGTAAAAAAAATCTCTAAATTCATTTAGGTTAGGTACAGATAATAGGTTAGGGTAGGTTTAAGTTTGGTTAGGTCACCTAAGGTTTGGTTGGGTTAAGTTACATAAAGGTTGGTTGGGTTGGGATAAATTGGGGCCTGTTAGCTTAGATTAGGTTAGGTCAGGTTATATAAGGGCCTGTTGGGTTAGGTTATATTAGGTAAATTGGGACCGGATATAATAAAGCGTGTTAGGATTGGGACGCATCTGACAAGTGGTCCAGGCAGCAATAACTGACCCCTCACAGTGGTGTTGACCCTCTTCCTCATTCTGCCACAATAAATATTTGGCTGTGGTTCCCCAGGTCTCTCATTTCCTCAACTGACGGAAGTAAAAATACTTGCCACCCACCCTGACCCTACAATCCCCTGGCTGTAGGGAGAGATACTCACCTAATCTGACCATTTGACCTTCACCTTACCTAATCTAACCTAACCTCCCCGATTGAACCTAATTATCACCTAACCTAAAGTAATACAAATTGGTAATATTGCTTTCAATTGCCCCACAACTACTGGCTGTTTTTAACATATCTATCATGAAGTTTAAACAATTTTAAAACACTTTTCTTCGATGACACTTGTCGGAAATTTATATTTTTCGAGTATTTTAACCAATATTACCTACAGTATTAGATGTTTAAAGTGTGCAGGGCTTTGATGTACAGTACAGGTGTGGGGGTACTGTAACAGCCGTGTTGTCACTTACCAAGTTTGATCCTGTTTGTCTTTCTAAATTACTAATATCAAATGCAAAAATAAATTGTAATTAATTCTCCAAGTTTCTTTATTTGAGAGAGACAGAGGCCCACCTGGTGACGCTGGACGTAAGTAACTTTGGATTTCTTAAGGTTGGACACGGCCTCAGTGACCCTCTTCAGTTCTTTATGCCAAGACTCCTTGATGACTTTCCGTGATCTCTCGTGTTCATTTCTCCTTGTTGTCAAGGGCTGTAGGTGAGACATATGTGAGACACAGGTGAGACTGTAAAGAGGATGTGAGACAGATGGAAGAGACAGAGAAGTGGCCACCAAGACCCATTAATCACTCACGTTCTGAAATAACAGCTTTGGTTAACAGCCCAGAATCATGTAGAGTCGTAGATAATCCTTTGCTACCACCAGCTGACAGTTGAAGATGACATTTCCATACAATGACTTTGTGAACATGCATCCAAGGAACTATTCATTAAGTCAAGTAACCAGGGTCTGAAGTAACACCAGCTTGTAAACAACTAAACTTAATAGGTGTACAGACCAGAGCCAGCCTTAGGTATACAGTGATCCCTCAGTTAACGAGCCCCTCGGTTAACGAATTACCTTCCATAAAATACCCAACTTCGGTTAACGAGCAATCCCCCGATTAATGAATTCCTTACGAGCGCCCCTCAACATGTTTTCGCTTGCACACTAGCTGTCATATTAGTCCGCCAATACAGTAATCGGTTCTAGGGCTTAAATTCCTCACTATTTTAGTAAATATCAAGAAGTTTGTACTATTCAATAATTTTAAGTCATATTTTAAAATTTTTAGTCATTTTAACAATTATTTAACATAATTTAAGTACTGTCCAGGAAAACTAGTTTTTAGCATGCCAAACAGCCTGTCAACACACCATACAGGCGTTAGTCTCTGTGTCTTTTCAGTGGAGGTAACATCTTGCTTCAGACTTTCTTCAATATAAATGCTTTTTTCTGTGTTTCCAGTCAAATTATTGGTCATTTTGAAATTTATTTTACATATTGACAATATAGAATGCAGTACAGTATTGATTTAAAGAAAATAATCTTGAATTACACTAAGTGAACTAAAATTTTATGGGTGAAATGGCACCATGGGGTGACTTCTATTCCACCCCAATGCCTTCTCTTCTCCCTTTTCCTCCACCCCCATTCTAACTTCCATCATCATCATCAACATCATCCAGGAGCCTTCTACATACACACCTCAAAGTAAGTGTACTTTACTACCTTTTTTGTTGACTTTAGGCAATTTTCGGTGAGGTGGAACCAATTACCCAAAAACCCATTGAAACAATGGTTTCGGTTAACGAGCAACCTGCTGGAACGGATTGTGCTCGTTAACCGAGGGACCACTGTACTTATGTTATCTGATTCTGAGCTGCAATGTTTTTCCTGTCTGTCCTACATAATAACCATTACATTTGCTACATGGAATACAATAAACACTTCCATTTACATTTTTTATTAACATATTGGTAATGGTTGAGTCATACTTGAAAACAACATTAATATTTAGTAGTTTGAGGGACCGAACTAACGGGACAAATTCATTACGATAGGGCAGAGTCAAAATATTCTTAAGTGTAGGAATTTGCCTGGTTTGCGAGGAATGAAAGGATTTTGTAGCCCTTTTAAAACAACGATCAACAAACACAGAAGGGTACCCAAGTTTTTGTGCAATGGAACGAATGTGTTTCAATTCATCATCAATAAATTCAGCGTCACAAATACGCAGACATCTTAAAACATTGCAGTAAAAACTGACATTTTGGTAGACTCCAGGTGATTAGATAAAAAGTGTATGAAACTGTCTACCTGTGTGGGCTTTCTGTATACCTTAAATTTGTAGTTTTGGCCATTTCTCATTATAAGCATATCAAGGAATGGAAGGGATTCATTTATTTCTCTTTTAATTTTGAATGTGATACTTGGGACAATATCATTAAGCTTGTCTAAAAATTCCAATGGGTCACTGTTTCTAGGCCAAAGACAAAGAACATTATCTACATATCTATACCATGGAGGAATAAAGTCCACTATATTGTGTAGTAATCTAGCCTCAAAAAACTCCATATAAATACAGGCTAGAGGAGCAGAAAGACAATTACCCATGCTCATGCCAAATATTTGCTTGTAAAACTTTCCATTTGCTCTAAACACATTGTCAGTTATGCATAACTCTATCAATTTGAGAAAAGTATCATGTTCAATAGTTAAATCTAACAGTTGTAATTTATCTTTAAGAAATGAAAGTAGGTCTTTCACAGGTACTCTAGTGAAAAGTGAATTTACATCAAAACTTATTAATTCGCAAGGTTCATTGTGTTTCTTGAGTTTATCAATTAAATCACTGCTATTGTGTATATGTGAATTAGATATTTGGCCTGTAAGAGGGGATATCATCTTTACCAGCCACTTGGATAATTTGTAAGTAACAGAACCCACAGAACTCACGATAGGACGTAATGGATTATTAAGCTTGTGTGTTTTGATCAATCCATACATATAAGGTAAAGTGGGATTGATTTGAGAGAGCTGTTTGGTGAGATCGGGGTCTTTTTCAATAACATCTTCATTTTGGAATTAGATAACTTATTAATATTTTCCAGGGGATCTTTCGTAAGCTCACAATAATTGCTTTCATCACTTAGTTATGAATTCATCTTATCATTGTAGTCACTTTTATCCAAAATTACAATAGCATTAGACTTATCAGCCTTGGTAATATGGATATTCTTATTTCTTTTCAAGTTTAACAAGGCTGTTTCAAATCTTTTTGGAATGTTTGAAACAAATTTCTTATGTAATACACTATGTATACAGCCTTTAGCTCTGGAAATATCTTCCTTTGTAACATCTAACGATTTGTTCTTTTCCAGGTTGATTATACCTTTAGCAATAGTAAGTGGATTAACGCACCGTTGAGTGATAGAAAACTTCCTACCAAAACCAAGAACAAGTTTCTCATTTGTATGTATAGATAGATAGATATATATATATATATATATATATATATATATATATATATATATATATATATATATATATATATATATATATATATATATATATATATATATATATATATATATATATATATATATGTATATTTCATTAGCCCAATAAAGCACGCGGACTTCTACATACAATCAACACCTCAACCCGCCAGGATTCCAAGCCACGGCCCACAAGCCTATGACTGTGACCGGGGAACGCTAACCGCTGGACCACCAGGATACTAAAAGCAGCCCTAGACTTTGTTATATTTCACACAAAGCCTGTTCAACGAGCTTATGGCGCCGTGAACCTCTAATGGGGACCACCCGTATCACGTAGGTGGTCTAACTATCTATATAGTCTTAGGTGGTGGACCAAAACCATTCGTGTGAAGTATTGCATCAGCCATCAACACACACAGGGTTTTCCTTTATAACTTTTAGTATCGACAAATATCAAAATGTTTTTCGACAACTTTTCCAAACTAATATTAATATAGATAATCGCATCAAAAATCAATGGAATGAGGAAAGGAAGAGACAACTGACTGATACGCTTGGCCTGATCGAACTACTGTAAACAGCATGATCCTGTGACGCCAACTAATTTAATGTTTATCTGCCTAATTCCATATTATGGCTCCTCCATCCGTTCACATAATATCACCCAACAATCACTTTCAACACTGGTGAGCAAATTGTTACTAAAACATGAGCTACACAATTGATGAAATAAGATATAGTTACACGTTTCAGATATAGCGTCCACCGAGACCCGTTTACACAAGAGGCAGTGCACCTTTCATAATGATTAAAATACAACTAACAATGGCTAGATCCCCGAAACTATAATATAATATAATTAATATATATACACACACACACACACACATATATATATATATATATATATATATATATATATATATATATATATATATATATGTGTGTGTGTGTGTGTGTATATAATGTCTCCATCACCACTACTACTCCCTCCATCACCACCACCACCACCACTTTCCTCCCCCTTCTCCCCCATTCCACGCTTTCTTCCTCATCCTACCCTCTATTCTCTGCCCATCTCTTCCTTGTCTCTCACCCCCTCTTTATCACGTACGCCACACCCCTAAGGGAAAACACCTCACTGGTAAACAGCCACACACTTGCCTCTAGCATTTTCCTGTTTCGCAAAATGTAATCTTTGTGTCGAATTGGCAACACGATTTATTGTTGCCAGAAATTTATGGTTCCGTCGAGACATAAAATATTGTTGATGTATCATGAGATAGTGTTGCAAAATTTGTTTGATGCAATTTATGAGGGCAATACGTGTTCTATGTACACTCACTAAAAAATTATTCGGCACCAGTGTCATATTTTATAACGCTGTAAGGGTTACCTGTACACACACACACACACACATATACATGCACGATACATACCTGTACACCCACTTAAAAATTATTGGGCACCCTTACAGCGTTATAAAATATGACACGGGTGCCGAATAGCGACTGTACACACACAAAATACACACACACGTACGCACAAAATACAAACACACACACACACATGTTGTCTCTCTCTTTGAGTTCCAACATTACATTGCCTCAAAGAGCTAGAGCCCCAGGCCCTCATCCGCCCACCATGCCGAGAGGGACTTATACAGGAGGAAGAGAGGGACTTGTACAGGAGAAAGAGAGGGACTTGTACAGGAGGAAGAGAGGGACTTATACAGGAGGAAGAGAGGGACTTGTACAGGAGGAAGAGAGGGACTTGTACAGGAGAAAGAGAGGGACTTGTACAGGAGGAAGAGAGGGACTTGTACAGGAGGAAGAGAGGGACTTGTACAGGAGGAAGAGAGGGACTTATACAGGAGGAAGAGAGGGACTTGTACAGGAGGAAGAGAGGGACTTATACAGGAGGAAGAGAGGGACTTGTACATGAGTCTTACCTCAATAAACTTGTGGGTCTGGAGGAGGATACAGGTCTGACTCAGCTGGGAGGTGTTCTCTATGTCTTGGTCCAGCGCCGTGCAGTATATAGACTGGAAGGGCAGGAAGCTCTGAAACACAACAACAGTTAGCAGGTGGTACTTGTGATCACATGAAGATTATGCACCCCAGCTTATTTGACCTGATGATTAGGTACTCTAATGCTAACCTAATCTATATAATCTTCCCTAACCTAATCTACTCTATCCTGACCTGACCTACCCTCCCTAAACTAACCAAGAGGGATTAGTACAGTGGTTCTCAACCTTTTTCACTCCATTCCCCCCTTGAGGAATTTTCAACATCCTCGTGGCCTCCTTCATTTTTCTCCCAGAACTAAAGAATGATAAAGAAGGACAGATAAATAGAACAAGAGTTAGAATGGCAAACACACACACACATTCACATACATAACACGCCCATGCACTCACACATAAAGCACACATACAGTCATACACAAACATGCACACAGGTAAACATTCACACTCAAGCTACCAACCTGAAGTGTACTTCCTGTAAGCAAGAACACGCCTCCTTTGACAAGCACTGCCCAACTTGGAAGAATGAGAAGAATAGTGAGTCATACCAATTTAGCACTAAAAATGGTAGGATTTTATAAGTAAAGAATGAGTATGAACAACAATGGCTCCAATAAATACGGAAATAATAAATAAAGGAAGTGTACAAATATTTCACCCACGTAAAGCAGCGACCACATGAATTATGAAACAAAATAAGTAACACCAATTACGGAGTCAAGCTCAAACGCAATATGTGGTTCAGAGACAATACACTCCACTGTTTTCGTGATGGTATCCAAGGCCAGAACCACTGGATTAGTATCTCCTGAGAGAGAGAGAGAGAGAGAGAGAGAGAGAGGCATGTGAGAGGGGACCCCAAGGACTCCTGAAGCCCAAACAATTTCTCATGTGCTTCGCTGGTTCAGTAACAACACTCAGATGACCCACCACAACACCCACTCCACAACCCCGCCAACTGGTAGTAGACGCCCACAACCCACTGTTAACCCCGTCAATCCACTGCCAAATCACCAATCCCCAGTAAACCACATTATCCCTCTCCCCATCAACCCTCTCCCCATCTATCACCCCCATCTATCACCCCCCATCTATCATCCCCCCCATCAACCCTCCTTATGAAATACACCCCCCATCAACATTTGGGGAGGGAGGGAAGGGACTCGGTGATAAAGAGGAGAACATTGTTAGGCCAAAGATGTTTTTTATGAGGCAAACCTTTCTACAGGACTACAGTAGGGAGGGGGAGAATGAGGGAGGGGAGTTGGGGAGTGACGGAGGGGAGAGGGACTACATAGCCCCGGGGAAGGTACAGTACACTACCTAGACTGCTCTGTCCATTGATCTTTCGTGGTCATTATAAAAGTCAGCAGTCATTTCTACCACGACCATAAAACTGAAATCATGTTTGTTTTTGTGGTCGGGGGGAGGGAGGGAGGGGGTGAGGAACTCTACGGCTTTGTCATCCAAAATTCCTGGTGAATCTGCCACAGCTCTTTATTGGTCTGACCCGCCCAGTTACTGAATATAGACAGGTGATGGAAGTGTGGTGCAGGTGTGTGGGGCAGGTGTTAAGTGTGTGCGCTGTAGGTGTGGGACAGGTGTTAGGCGTGTGCTGTAGGTGTGGGACAGGTGTTAGGTGTGTGCTGCAGGTGTTAGGTGTGTGCTGCAGGTGTTAGGTGTGTGGTGTTAGGTGTGTGGTGTTAGGTGTGTGGTGCAGGTGTTAGGTGTGTGGTGCTAGTTGTTATTATCCCTCAGAGCAGCATTACTGACCTCCTCCTTGAGCGCAGGTCTGACTGTGTGCGCCAGCTTGGTGAGGTTCCTGGCGTACTCAAGGTCCATCTGGGCGCGCTTCTCTATATACGTCATCACGTCCTTAGCGTACTTACTCCACACCTTGGCACGGTGCAGCGCGTACTCCACACCTGTACGTAAACCCACATTATTTTAGTAACGTACACACGGCGACGTATTAGTAACGTACACATATTGACAGGGTATAGAAACGTACACACTAATCCTTCAGTTATGTACTCTTACGTTTTAAATGCAGGAAAGTGGTTTTCTTACCGTAGAACTCAGATACCTTCACACTGGTTGCTCACCCAGGAGATTATAGTGTATCACTACGAAGAATTTCACTCTGCTTCCGGCATTCAATGCGTTGTGTACTTGATAAATGATGATTTAATGAATTCATAAATTTCCAGCATCCATCTAAGTTATTGGTTATACTTTGTCATAACCAATCAGTCATTACCTTTGGTAATAATAATAATAGAGGGATCACAGATACGGGCAGATGATTGCACTTACGTTTATTTGGCACAATTCCATACACTGGACTTATAATTTGAATGAATAGATCAGTCACTCACATTCACGCCACAGTACCGTAAGTTATAAGGGAGAGTTTGTCAACCTGGAGAATTAATCGTTAGATCTATTAGGCCGGCCTGGAGTGCTCTTGTAGCAACAGGCCCTCACCATTGATCACTTCCTTTACAGGATGTGTTAACTTGTCGCTGGACTTAACAACAATCTCGGGGATTTGCACACACAGACTCGTAGCACTGGTAGGACTGTATGGCCCCTGTTCTAAATCCGCGGAGCAGGAGGTCTTCTCTAACCCAAGGTCTAAAGCCCACTGGCTAAAATGTGGTTTTGAGGCGTGAAATGACCCCTATCGGCTGGCCGGGTACCTTATCTCTACCTAAACAAACATTTGGGATGGGTTGTGCGGGAGGCCCAGCGCAACCCATGACATGTACACACAGCGGCACAATAACAGCAGACACAATAGACATACAGTAAAATACGTTCACATACACACATTAACAAACACTTACATACATATATAATAAACACTCACACATCCTTGACCACCGGAGAGTCAAGACCTTTCAGGTGCCCACTCCTGCTGCCCCTCAACCAATGTCGGCCCATTACTCAAGTCCCTCTCCTGGACCCATCCTCACCACCGGGATATCAACATAATCCCGTCAAAAGTGACAATTTTGTTTCGGAAAGAAGTGGGACCAGTGTTTAAGCCAGTGAGTTCAACACGAGACAGTACCAGTGAGAGCCGTGACCCACCAGTGAGATAAGCACCCCTGGGAACCAACCACCGTCTTCTGACCAGGTGTTAATCAGTCCACCCTGTGGGTCGGCTTTACACCGGATAACACAACAACACCTAGCAGAGTGACACCACATTGTGTCTCCATGACCAGTATGTTCCATTCATGTTCCTTCTCCTTTTCAGTAATGAAAGCATTTGTTAAACGACCCAACTACCCTACAGTATGTCTTTGTATGTAATAAGTCATTTTTTGTAATGTATAAAGTATTTTCAGCCTTCGGGCTGCAGAACTTTTTCAATAAACCGTTAATTATTCATATTATTATAAATTATTATCACTCTCACACATTAAGTATGGTAAGGTACTGTGTAAAGGAACTCTCCCTCACCCTGCTCATGGCGGTGAAGGTACTCATCAATCTGCTGGGGTGTGAGTACCTCTGGTTCCTTCAGGCCGGGGTCCAAACACCCTCCCTCAGCGCCAGCTATGCCGCCTCGCTCCCCGGTGGTGCTCTCTCCGTCGCTGCTCACCAAGTTCTCACAAGACTGTACACAAAGAATTGTAATGATCAGCGTCCAGTTAACTTAATTTGAATTGTATTGTTTTGGAGTAACCTGAAGATTAGATACCCCAGCTTATTTCATGTACCCTTACCTAACCTGACCTGAAGATTAGATACCCCAGCTTATTTCATGTACCCTTACCTAACCTGACCTGAAGATTAGATACCCCAGCTTATTTCATGTACCCTTACCTAACCTGACCTGAAGATTAGATACCCCAGCTTATTTCATGTACCCTTACCTAACCTGACCTGAAGATTAGATACCCCAGCTTATTTCATGTACCCTTACCTAACCTGACCTGAAGATTAGATACCCCAGCTTATTTCATGTACCCTTACCTAACATGACCTGAAGATTAGATACCCCAGCTTATTTCATGTACCCTTACCTAACCTGACCTGAAGATTAGATACCCAAGCTTATTTCATGTACCCTTACCTAACCTGACCTGAAGATTAGATACCCCAGCTTATTTCATGTACCCTTACCTAACCTGACCTGAAGATTAGATACCCCAGCTTATTTCATGTACCCTTACCTAACATGACCTGAAGATTAGATACCCAAGCTTATTTCATGTACCCTTACCTAACCTGACCTGAAGATTAGATACCCCAGCTTATTTCATGTACCCTTACCTAACATGACCTGAAGATTAGATACCCCAGCTTATTTCATGTACCCTTACCTAACCTGACCTGAAGATTAGATACCCCAGCTTATTTCATGTACCCTTACCTAACATGACCTGAAGATTAGATACCCCAGCTTATTTCATGTACCCTTACCTAACATGAAGATTATACCCCAGCTTACTTCATGCAACCTAATCTGACCTGAAGATTAGACACCCCAGCTTTACTCAGGTGAATTAAATCAAAATAATAATCAGCATTGTCCTTTTTTCTTGCACTGGGATTAGGGTGACCTTAGTAATACTCAAACCAATTATTATCTATGGTAATATTAATTACTTCTAAGAGTATTATCAGTGTAATTAAGACTCAATAATACTCTAGAATATTATCAGTGTCAAGCTTTTTTCACTCAGGTTGGCAACAATACTTAACGATCACCTAACTTGTTTATAAAGTACTGTACTGATGGTCGCGCGCCAGGCGGCTGAGTCACCCCCAGTGACACTGGTTTGCACTGTTTACATAGCATCCCTGTGTGATTAAGTGAAAATATTCTTTTCAGCCATTTATTATATACTATAGTATAATAAAACCATGTTTCAATGAACAACACTAATCATTAGCAACAATAATTATCCTTATCATGACACGAACCTGGTACCCTGAGCACAGGGGAATTTCTGTGCATTTTACCTTATGAACATTAGATTCAGCTGAACATTAACTTATTCATGCTAGTTCTAATTTTGACAGCTTTGAGAGATACGTTTCGTGCAGTGAACTGTTTGCCTGCGTATGTGTATCTCAGCTACTGCTTTGATTACCAATACAAGAATATTGTTGAGAGGATCACTTTGTGACATGTGTATTGCCAAGCCTGGGAATACAGTTTTGTTCAGGAACTCTGATAATACATAAGGTTCTTATAATATTGTAGATAATGTAAAAAGAATAAAGACACTGGTCAGGGTGGGGGTAAGGCCATCCACTACATCTTGCCGCTGTTATACTTGCCCACCAGCCGTCGCCGCCAGTCAGCCAGCTGCTGTATGTGGCACCATCCAGGACCGTGCGGGTCCATGGGCTTCCCGACCTGCCACACGTGTTTTCGTTTTACTCGGCGGCGGCGAGAACGCATCTTGGGAATGGCTGGCTCCACTATGATGACCTTAGTTTCAACTCCCACTGTTGGAGTGGTGACCTGGGGCTCCACTTTCGGAGTGGTGACCTGGGGCTCCACTTTCGGAGTGGTGACCTGGGGCTGCACTTTCGGAGTGGTGACCTGGGGCTCCACTTTCGCAGTGGTGTTGACCTGAGGCTGCACGTTGCCACAGGTGGCCAGGGAGACGCCACCAGTCTGAATTATGGTGGGGCAGCCCGGCCCCTCCCCCGTGGTGTACGTCACAGTGTGCCTGGGAGGCTCCACAGAGGTGTTGGTCACGCCACAGGCCTGTGGCTTGACCACCTCACCGCCGGGGTCCGTGGTCACAGCTTGCGGCTTGACCACCTCACCGCCGGGGTCCGTGGTCACAGCCTGCGGCTTGACCACCTCACCGCCGGGGTCAGTGGTCACAGCCTGAGGCTTGACCACCTCACCGCCGGGGTCAGTGGTTTCAGCCAGGGACTTGACCACCGTGACGGGTTCCCTGGACATAATGGTCACCACTGAACCCCCCGACTGGGCCCAGACTACACTCACTCCCAAAACCAACAAAAACAAAAATGAAATTTTAAACATTTTGAAGGTGAAATATTGGTTAAATATATATAAATATGTAACTGTACAGCAGTGACGAGGAGAAGCTGACGACGATGATGACGTGTATAAGGTGACCGACACCCTCACATTAACTATCGGTGCCGATACACTCAACTCCTATTACTCATATATCCATCCAGCCTCTATGTTCCAGAGTGATGTTTGGTAACCACTACTCTATTTATAAACCAATGTTTATCTATCTCGCGTTACGAGTTCGCTCCTGGTTGGATAGTTTGAGTACCTTTGTAATGTCCCCTTTGTTTAGTCCTGCCTTCCACTTAAACACCTCTATCAGGTCGCCCCTCGCTCTACGCCTCTCAAGGGAGTGCAAATTAAGATGCTTTAACCTGTCTCTGTACTCAAGGTTCCTAATGCCCGGGATTAGTGTTGTCATTCTCCTCTGAACTCTTTCCAAGGATTCTATATCCATTCTGTAATACGGTGACCAGAACTGAACTGCGTAATCCAGGTGTGGTCTGACTCCTCCATACTGCTCTCTCTATAACCTAGAGCCAACAGTGAGCCACAGGTCTGACTCCTCCATACTGCTCTCTCTATAACCTAGAGCCAACAGTGAGCCACAGGTCTGACTCCTCCATACTGCTCTCTCTATAACCTAGAGCCAACAGTGAGCCACAGAACTGACCTTGTTCCTGGAGGAGGCGGTAGAGCAGTTAAGGATAGCTGAAGAACTGTCGATGTCTCCCATAAGATACTCCGATACCCTGCAAACAACATGATTTATACTGTAAGTGTGTGTACATAGTGATGATGATGATGATAATAATAACTCGTGGTGAAGATCTTAAGTGGTACAGACTAGGGACAGCCGCTTATGGTGAGGGGGTGTACAGGTGGGGTTAGGTTAGGGGAGTGGAGTTTGATTTGGTTAGGTTAGGTTTATGGAGACACACAGACGGAGAAAAAGATGGCCACAGTTCATTAAGGTTTCATTAGTTACAGGTGTAATTAATGATTCCAAGAAGACCTAAAGAGATTAATGATGGCAGGAGGGTCTCTCTCTCTCTCTCTCTCTCTCTCTCTCTCTCTCTCCTCTCTCTCTCTCTCTCCCTTCCTAGTTTTTACTTTTCTCTGCTTACCTTCCATTCTCCTTATTCTCTTTCTTCCTCGATCTAGTTTGAGAAAGAGAGAGATGCTATGGAATCATTAATTACCTCTTCTTCTTTCTAACAATAATTGGGAACCAGTGTGGCAGAGACAGAAGGAGAGCATGAAGAGAGGAAAATGTGAATATAAGAGGGGGAGAAGAGAGATTGGGGGGTGACGGCAGGAGTGTGTTGTCAGAAGGTTCTCAGGGGGTGGGGGTGTTGTCAGGGGAAGGTTCTCCGGGGTGGGGAAGTGTTGTCGAGGAAGGTTCTCGAGAATTGGGGGGGTGTTGTCAGGGGAAGGTTCTCAGGGGAGTGGGGGGGGGGTGTTGTCAGAAAGGTTCTCGGGAATTAGGGGGTGTTGTCAGAAGGTTCTCGAAGTGGGGGTGTTGTCGAAGGTTCTCGAGGGAGTGGGGGTGTTGTCAGGGAAGGTTCTCGGGGGTGGGGGGTGTTGTCAGGAAGGTTCTCGAAGTGTTGTCAGGGAAGGTTCTCGAAATTAGAGTGTTGTCAGGAAGATTCTCCGGGGAATGAAGTGTTGTCAGGGAGTTCTCGGGGGGTGTTGTCAGGGGAAGGTTCTCGGGGGTGTTGTCAGGCAGACAGGTTACGCACCAGCATATATATCTGGTTTATGTACACGGCCGCTGCTGCGCTCACATGTACACACTAAGTAACCTACAACCCTGTGTGTGTAAGCTTGTACTGTATGTTTATATTATGAAGACTCTCCACCCCGGTTCATTTCACCAAAAGACTAACCACCTTAACACTATTGAGGTGAGGCTAGGTGAGGTTGGGTCGGGTCAGGTGAGGTCGGGTCGGGTTAGTATAGGCTTAATCTGGGTTAGTTAATACACCGTTAAAAGCGACATCATATAATATAAGGAATAATGTTAAGTTAATGAGAGTAAATGTGTTTGTCATAGCCACGCCCTTCCTACCCTCACCGATGTCACGTTAAACCCCCGATTACCAGGTAACACCGGGTAACAAAGTAACATCAGGTAGCATCAAATAACATCAGGTAACACCTGATTTAAACTCACGTAACGTCAAGAAAGTTACACCAGGTAGACACAGGCATCCTATAACACACAGATAGCTGCTAACACCACCTGGGAGCCGTTAACACCAGCTGGGAGCCGTTAACACCAGCTGGGAGCCGTTAACATCACCTGGGAGCCGTTAACACCACCTGGGAGCCACTTAACACCACCTGGGAGCCGTTAACACCACCTGGGAGCCACTTAACACCACCTGGGAGCCGTTAACACCACCTGGGAGCCGTTAACACCACCTGGGAGCCACTTAACACCACCTGGGAGGAGCCACTAACACCAGCTGGGAGAGTTACCACCAGCTGGGAGCTGTTAACACCAGCTGGGAGCCGTTAACACCACCTGGGAGCCACTTAATACCACCTGGGAGCCACCTCTAACACCACCTGGGAGCCACACCTAACACCACCTGGGAGCCACTTAACACCACCTGGGAGCCACTCAACACCAGCTGGGAGCCACTAACATCACCTGGGATGTTAACACCACACCCGAGCCATCAACACCACCTGGGAGCCGTTAACACCACCTGGGAGCCACTTAACACCACCTGGGAGCCACTTAACACCACCTGGGAGCCACTCAACACCACCTGGGAGCCACTCTAACACCACCTGGGAGCCACTAACACCAGCTGGGAGCCACTAACATCACCTGGGAGCTGCTAACACCAGCTGGGAGCTGTTAACACCCAGCTGGGAGCCGCCAACACCAGCTGGGAGCCGCTTAACACCACCTGGGAGCCACTAACATCACCTGGGAGCTGCTAACACCAGCTGGGAGCCGTTAACACCAGCTGGGAGCCACTTAACACCACCTGGGAGCCGTTAACACCAGCTGGGAGCCGTTATCACCTGGGAGCCGCACACCACCTGGGAGCCACTCTCAACACCAGCTGGGAGCCACTTAACACCACCTGGGAGCCGTTAACACCAGCTGGGAGCCGTTAACACCAGCTGGGAGCCGTTAACATCACCTGGGAGCCGTTAACACCACCTGGGAGCCACTTAACACCACCTGGGAGCCGTTAACACCACCTGGGAGCCGTTAACACCACCTGGGAGCCGTTAACACCACCTGGGAGCCGTTAACACCACCTGGGAGCCGTTAACACCACCTGGGAGCCGAGTCTTACCTGTCAATGGCCTTCCTAAACCCGGGTCTCCAGCCAGGGTAGAAGGTGTAGCAAGGCATAGTGAGTCTTACTGCCTGGGTACATGAGGCTCAAAACACCACTATCACCTGGTGTTAGGTTTTCTCCACCACTATCACACTAACACCTGCTGGCGTATCCTAACACCGCTCACTCGTGCTAAGTCAGCCATCTTTCCCGTGTTAATACATAGCACTTTAACACCAGTTCCTTGTGTTGTGTTTCTCTTACAATGTCATATACTCTTAACAGCATTTAGGCCTTATCACACTATCACATGACCAAATGTTCGTAACACCGTACCAACGTGGTGATAGTTATCCATCATCATCCAGACGTAACACCAATCACTCGTGTTAAGTTGCCCATCATCGGTCTCCTTTGATTGATAACACATTTTGCTTGTATTACGTTCACCTTTCCATCGTGTTACGTAACCATAATAATGTAAAAAAATAACACGTAACACCTTTTATCTGTGTTACGTGACCACCTATCTGTTCCTTATCACAAGTAACACCTTTCCATCGTGCTAAGTAACACCTAAGGTCGCTGTTGTTATTTCTTTAATATTTCAACTCTTGCAATAACAATAATGATCACCTGAAGATTAAACACACCGGGTTATTTCACCTGATGATTAAACTCCCTGATGCTAACCTCACCTAATCTAACCTAACTAAACTAATCTAACCTAACCTTTTCATTAATAAATTCAAACATTTAGTTAGAAACAATGAGAGAGAGAGAGAGAGAGAGAGAGAGAGAGAGAGAGAGAGAGAGGGGATCATAGAGGCTCTTTCCTGCTAATTCCCAAGACCAGCGGAGGATTTCTAAGACTCCTGAGGATTCCTAAGCCCTGCCCAAGGATTCCTAAGACCCGCGGAGGATTTCTAGGACCCGCCCGAAGATTCCTAAGACTCCTGAGGTGGTGGTGGTGGTAAATATAATAATGATGATGAAAATGATGACAATAATAATAATAATGATGCTGATGATGATGATGATAATAATAATAACCACAACCAGCTGTAACACACTCAGTACACAACCCCAGCCTCGCCCGGGGGACTTAATCTCTCGTTGTAAATTCAAGAGACTTCCTGCCCGCTGTGTCCACGGTATAATGTACTGAACGCCCGCCTGAGCAGACATCACCGCTTAACAATACATCCTGTGCTTAACTGTGCAGGGGGGGGGGGGGATATTTCACCCTGACATATGCACTGATTTGCCTACATAATATACATACATACATACATCTCGATAAAACCACACAGGAAACACCTACAACACATACATACATACATACATACATACACACGGGCGTTAATAGATGGTCGGGTGGTCAGTCAAGTATACATGCAAACAAATAAGATAATATTGCGTATATATCACTCACACACATACACACACACACACACGCACACACACACGCACACACACACACACACACACACAGTCAACAATAGTGAGGGTGGGTCAGTCCTTCTCTCTGTTTATTTATTCGCCTGAGTGGCCGTCCAGAGCCCGTCAGTCTAATGTCTTACTCCGCCTCTTACTCCACCTTCTCTACTCCACCTGTCTTACTCCACCTGTCTTACTCCACCTCCTCTTCTCCACCTTCTCTACTCCACCTGTCTTACTCCACCTGTCTTACTCCACCTTCTCTACTCCACCTTCTCTTACTCCACCTGTCTTACTCCACCTCCTCTTACTCCACCTGTCCTCCACCTCCTCTTCTCCACCTCCTCTTCTCCACCTTCTCTACTCCACCTCCTCTTCTCCACCTTCTCTACTCCACCTTCTCTACTCCACCTGTCTTACTCCACCTGTCTTACTCTATCCTGTTTACCTAGCATAATTTCTATAACACACACACACACGCACACACACACACACACACACGCACACACACACCGGCTCCTACTACCACCTGAGATCCCTTGTCCGAGAATTGCTGTTCGACACCACCCCCGCATCCAGCCCATACGTGCACGAACTGATCGCTATAAGAACAGCCCAGTCCCAACCATTGTAAAAATTATCAATAACTTGTAATAAATCAGTGTATTCACTCCCGGTAAACACTGCTCCCTACACTGTCACTATGTTGAAATGAACTGTAGTTTGAGCTGATCCCCATCTAGTTATTATATGTCTTATTTGTGTCACTTATGTTACTTGTATATTATTTGTAATTCGTAACCCATTCCCCAAATATGTAACTGTATATTTTCAGCCTTCTGGCTGCCGAGCTATTTCAATAAACCGTTAATTATTATTATTATTATTATTATTACACACACACACACACACACACACACACACACACACACACACACATTAAACAAATAAAAACAGATTAAACTTTAAAATCACAGCATTGAGTCGAAAGTAAAGTTCAACCA